GGTCAGGTAGGGCAGATTGATGTCGGTCTACAGGCGAGAGCATACAATCAAGTTACAGAGCAGCCCGGCTAGGAAAATACCCAAATGACTTTATTGACATTAATGGAGTGAGTGAATGATGCTACAGCTTTTCGAAAGGAAAGTTGCCTCTGAACAATGTCTGCCTGCCCAGAAGATCTTGGTAAGTGGTTGCTAATCCAGGACAAGGCTGTCTTTCTAAATGAGACACCTGCCACTTACAGTTATGTTCAGATTAATCATGTCACGTGCTTAAAAATGTAAGTAAAGATGTAAAGCTCTATGAAGTAATAGCTTTTACTTCCACTGCGTATTTTATTCAAACCAGGAAATACAGAACAATCTAATAATTTTTTTCAAAGCATCAATCCATTCGTTCTCTGTATCGCTTATCCTCATAAGGCTCGCACGTGAGCTGGAGCCTATCCAAGCTGTCATTGGGCGAAAGCCCGGCTGCACCCTGAACTGTTCACCACCCAACGGCACATTCACACATACATACAATGTAGAGTCTTCACTTAACCTAGCCTGGATGTTTTGGGAACGAGGGAGGGAACAGGAGGATACACTGGGAGAGCATGTAGAGCTGAACCCACAACCTCAGAATTGTGAGGGCAAACCAGTCTGTTACTGTGAAATCATTCTTTCAAAGCATTTCCATCCACTACAATAGCTCCTTTTTTTTTTTTTTAGCCTGGATGTTTTGGGAACGAGGGAGGGAACAGGAGGATACACTGGGAGAGCATGTAGAGCTGAACCCACAACCTCAGAATTGTGAGGGCAAACCAGTCTGTTACTGTGAAATCATTCTTTCAAAGCATTTCCATCCACTACAATAGCTCCTTTTTTTTTTTTTTTACTTTGTTCCCGCTGCCTAAAGTCAATAATAGTTGCGAAGTGCAAATTCCCATTTTAAATCAAAATATAGGGGAAATAAATGTGAGTCCAGGAAAGGGCTTCTTGTTAAGTTTGGTGGTGTAATACATTCAAATGTGCTTAGCATTAAATGACTGAATTTATTTAAGACTTGGAACACAATATCATGGGGAAGTAAAATGTAACAGAAAGTATACTTTGGAATTTCCAAACTTCACCCTTTTTGAAAACCTGGCAGAAACCCTGCCTGGACAGCTGTCAATTCTTCAAATGACACATGCATACCTGCAGTGACGATGACAGCTCACACTTGGCCTTCTCGGCAGCCTCTCTGACTCTCTGGAGGGCCATGCTGTCTTTCGTCAGATCCACACCAGACTGAAGTGGCAAAATAACATGTATATGAACATTTCAACTCATGAGGCCACAGTCAAGATGGTCTTTCGTTAATCACCTCTCTCTTAAATTCTTTGACAATGTGTTTGAGTAGGGGTAGGTCAAAGTCCTCTCCTCCAAGGATGGTGTCGCCATTGGTGGACTTCACCTCAAAAACTCCCTTCTGTATCTCCAAAATGGAGATATCAAACGTACCTCCACCAAGATCATACACGGCAATACTGGAAAACAAACAAGCTGGTTTTACTGGGGAACTCGATTCCAGCGAAAGAAGGCATCAGAGTGATTCAAAACGAATTAGAAGCCATAGTCTACCCTTTGCGCTTAAAGAGGAAGTCAAGTCAAAGATTTTCTTAAACATTTTCTTTACAATAATATGTCCATGTGTTCAGCACCAGTGAAAACATGGCATTTTGATTAATATTGCATTTGTGCTTATAAATTAAGTAGAAAAATCCACACGATTTTATGTACTTGTTAAGTCAAATTTGTGTCAGTGTTTATGTGTTGTGGTTAAATGATGACACCACTCTGACTGGCTTCTTTCAATTTTGGCATTTACTGATTAAAAATAAGCTAATGAGCTAACTCCATACCAAAGTATTAACATTTTTGTTTGACTTTCACATGTGACGCATTTAGTTTAGAATCAATTCCACTCACATCTTATCCTGGGTTTTGTCCAAGCCGTAGGCCAGTGCAGCCGCTGTGGGCTCATTGATCACGCGCAGGACGTTCAAACCAGCGATCTGACCAGCGTCCTTGGTAGCCTGAATGCACATCAACACAGCAATTAGTGACAATGAGCTTTCACAGGAGATGACTCAATGAGCTGACGTAGTTTGGTTCGCCGGTGTGTGCGCTTGCGCCTGCGTGCGTTTACCTGTCTCTGAGAGTCATTGAAGTAAGCTGGTACTGTGATCACAGCATTCTTCACTTTAGTTCCGAGGTAGTTCTCTGCAACAAAAAAAAATCACCAAAACAGCACCAGATCAAACGGTGTCTGTTGTCTGTTTGTGAACAAGAAACCCCTGAGAAAAACAGCCATTACCTGCCGTCTCCTTCATCTTCATCAGGACGAAGGCTCCAGCCTGACTGGGGGAGTACATTTTTCCATGAGCCTCCACCCAAGCATCACCATTAGAAGCACGCACAATCTTGTAGGGCACATTCTTCCTGTTGATGGAGAACAAAATTACGTTAGCTAAAAGACCAATACCAATACCAATATCCCACATTTGCATAAACCTACTCACAAGTCTTTCTGGACTTCGGCGTCATCAAAGCGGCGGCCAATCAGTCTCTTTGTGGCATACAACGTATTCTGAGGATTGGTGACAGCCTGCCGTTTGGCAGGCATGCCAACCAGACGCTCCCCTTCGGCCGTAAAAGCAATGACTGAAGGAGTTGTCCTGGCTCCCTCTGCATTCTCCAACACCTGCGAAGAAAGGACATTCAGGTATTACATCGTTTCATGTACACTATGCTGCATTCATGCACTGAGGTCGTTAGAGGAGGCAGTCTTGGCGATATTTTGACAAAACATTAACTATGGGTTTTGCCAAAATATGACTGGATGCAATATAGTCTGGTAAAATCTATTTTATTCATAGGGTTCCCATTTAAAAGTTAGTTCAAGGCACTTTTTATTTGGAGCAAATCTATAAACACCAGAACCGACATATTGGGTATCACCTTTGCTTGTTTACCCTCCATGACAGCAACACATGAGTTGGTGGTTCCCAGATCAATTCCAATGACTGCCCCCTTGATGGCTTCCGACCTGCAAAAAAAGTCAATATTAGTCATGTAGCTTTTTGAAATGAAAAATTGTTTTCCTCCAATTTATTGCTATATGTAACATTCATCTCTTACGTATGCACAAATTAACAAATGATCAAAAAAGCAACATAGACTGTCATTGTTTTCTTTAAGCAGTTTTTCTTCCAAGTTTGGACTGACGATTATATCTCGAGCCCATATAACCAACTGAAATATACTTACGCATAGTCTCTCCTGGACAGGGCTCTAAGAGCATCAGATTGGAAGCCGCTCCAGTGAGCCTGTGGGGAGAACACAACGTAGTTTCTAAATCCAAGGCTTTAGGCCAATTAAATGCTCTAACATGATTGGGACAAAAAACACATAACATGACATCACTGCACACACACTCGTATTTGGCAGCTTGGAAGTACACGACTCAGGTCAAACGAGTGTATGATTCGGCGCATGTTTGTTGTACAGAATAAACCCGCCGCCCCCACCCCAAAAATAAATTACAGCAATGGTCAGAATAATTGACAAGTACAGTGATCAAATCATTAAGTGGGCAACTGTGCTCTCTCTCTGTATGCAGCTATGTTGTAAGTGGAAGCAGTGCACATCAACAACTGACAATGAATAAATGCTGACTATTTCGATTTCATTTGGTTAAGCTTCCTTGATTTAACATGTTCGGAATACAGAGGCAGGTAGTTATATTGGCATCAGGGGTCCTTGGAAAATCTCTCTCTGTAAGAGGTCTCTAGACTCACAACCTTTGAGAACGACCCCATTGGATGAAAATTGCATCAGGTAGGAGGGCATCACTTTGAAGGTCAATGAGTCATACATCCGCCACAGACTTGGGTTGATGGATGAAACACATTGGCCAAATTAACTAGTTAACACTGCAAGCATCACTCAACATTGAATACGACGGAGACGATTACAGGTTACATGATTATCGAACTCCACAACCGCCAAAATGTCATACGCAGGTGTTCGCATTCATTCGCTCTCAGCAAAAAATAATTATCAAACCGATGCTAGATCAAATTTGTGCGGCTTCAATTCCGAACGACTGTGTAAAATACACTGCAGAGCACGTGACGACCAAACGACAAATGGCGTTTTAAAAGTCACGAGAACAAGATAGCCTCAAGCTAACTGCTCACATAATATACATCGCAGTGGCCTTACAAAAGTAACAATAAACGGTGAGGAGAATGTCTTAATTGTCGTTTACGTGTGTGGGAAGCTCACCTTTGTTAGCAAAGATGACACATTTCGTGCGCAGCTTCTTGTCGGCAGAGTCCTTGAAACACTTCGGGCAACGCTCAACATTTTTAACAGCTCGGCTAACTAACTGTAATAAAACGAGATTAACCGTTTACCAGTAAAGAATACTGACGAATTTTCAACAATCACTGCCTAGTGTCTTCTCGAGAGCTAGATGCGGATCAATGCTAGCGCTTGAGTGCCGTCACACTACCGGTAGATAGTCAAGAGAAAGGCTAAAGAACTGCGACGCACCTTCTGGAATTATCCAACACATGTTACACCATGGAAAGCTGGAGGACCCCTAAAATAGGATGTTGATATAATGCCTGAGTATATTTTAACCATTTGGAAACATGATACCCCTTAGAAAATTATTTAAATCACATGTTGCCCTGGAAGAGATATTTATAATCTTATAAAAATATTATAATTTGAAATATAAAAAAGAATGTATTATATTTTGACGGCTTTTACAATCAGGGTTAGTATCGGGCACCTATGCCTGTGGGCATATGAAGGTCATGATGTAACGGGACCATCGACAGTTTCACGCGTGTTACATCAGGGATGCAGATTGAAAATAAGTAAATAAAATGACCACCGATATTATCTTATGTCAGGAGTCGCTGATCATTCACGGTAAATCCAATGTCATGCTCACGTTTAAAAAAGTACCTGACTGAGTGAGATAGAGACAAAACTAATATCATATTGCTTATTCGTGATCAGTTTGCATTGTATTACACTGGAAAATCTAAGTGGAATAAAGTAGCTTTTTAGTCAAGCCTTGTCAGTTTTATAGACACATTTCTTCAATTGAGTCCTTCCATTTCCGTGTCCAGTGAATGCAACATTCGATATTCTCGCGAGAAGTGAGCAGACGGAAACGTGGCTTTGTGGCTGAAATACAAATACAGTACTGTAAGACAAAAAATCTGCACACTTTTGCAGTCATATCAGTAGTTAATTAAGTAACTGAAAGTCACACATAGACATATCAGATAAGTACAAAATTTGAGAGACAGTGGCAACTGTCAACAAGCTCTTTTCATCGCTTGCTTGTCAACACAGGGTTTGGAGGCTCTCTCTTCGCAGCCGTGAAGGGAAAGGAGCATTCACTGGTCGTCGTTGAGCAGCTTGTCAGCGACCATGGCAGAAAGCCTTTCTCCGGGTGAATTCTCCAGCTCTCTGACGAGCTCCGCCAGCCTTCCTCCGCCAAGGACTCGTATCTTTAAAATCATCGTTATCGGGGACTCGGGGGTAGGCAAGACATGCCTGACGTACCGCTTTTGCGCCGGAAAGTTCCCCGAGAAGACAGAGGCCACGATCGGGGTGGACTTCAGGGAGAGGCTGGTCGATATTGACGGCGAGAAACTCAAGGTGGGCATTGCAGCTCTTGCGAATTGAGTATTTTTTTTTTGTCTTTCTCTTATTAGCTCAGATACGTAAACGTAGGGTGCGTCTCGGGTGAACAACAACAAGACATCCTCGTCCTCACCTTTAACCATGTATTTATTCTGAATCCCGTGGTTGTCTCATCTATGGCGCGCGCCAGGAATTCATGTGTGATTTTCAGCATCATAAGTGCATGCATGGTACATGTCTCTCACGGGCGACTGGAATTGCAGATGTGACACAAATACTCTTTGTCTTAAGATAAGAAATCCTTTATTAGTCTCGCAATGGAGAAGTTAAGTAGATGTTTTTACGTCTGGTCTAAGAAGTAGACTGAAATATACTCAAATACTAGACAAAACAGTTTTTAGGGGACAGACTTCTCAATGTATGCATGTTTTTGGATCAAACGGAACATTTTGAAAACCAGAAGCTCATGATTGTTTTGGGCTGGCACAAGACAACCCATTCGACATTGTTGCCGAAAACATTATCGCTTGCTTCTCTTGATTTGTTGCTCATGTTGTTAATGCTTCCATGTCACTACATTCCGGGTTTTTTTTTTCTACCTTTAAGACCCCAAGGTCTCAATCATCATATCTCATTCATGGTTGACATCACCTCTGACGTCTATTTTTTTTAATGTTGTTTGGTCATCTGTGGGGGTTAATAAAAGTAACAAGCCTATCTTGACAAAGTAAGAGTAGGGAATACAAGATATTTTTTCAAATTGAGGGAAGTAAAATAAGTTGTCAGAAAAATAAATATTCAAGGAATGTTGTAATGTTTCAGAGACCTGAAAATTCTACTCATGCACACAGTCATTGTATTTTGTTGCTTTCCACCACACTAATGATGCCATTCAATTGTTACTTACTTGAAATACAATCAATGCTTGCTTGTCCTGTAGCCTCAAACGATCATTTAGTTAATCGAGATTGCGTTTGATTAACACCGCAATTGTGTTTTGCCTTTTCTTTGGATTTTTTTGGGTGATACTTCTTCCAAATGCTACCGTTTCTATCATACAGATCCAGCTGTGGGACACAGCAGGCCAGGAGCGCTTCAGGAAGTCAATGGTGCAACACTACTACCGCAACGTGCATGCTGTCGTCTTCGTCTATGACGTGACCAACGCTGCCAGCTTCCGCAGCCTCCCCGCCTGGATTGAGGAGTGTAAGCAGCACGCTTTGGGCACAGAAGTGCCCAGGATACTTGTTGGAAACAAGTGCGACCTCCAAGACTCTGTCCAAGTAGGAACAGACGTGGCACAGCAGTTCGCTGACTCCCACTCCATGCCTTTGTTTGAGACCTCTGCTAAGAACCCAAACAGCCAGGGCGGCATAAATTCTGGCAATAGTGACCATGTCGAGGCTATTTTCATGACGGTGGCTCACAAGCTCAAGTCTCAGAAGCCTCTGGTGTTGAGCCAACCTCCTGCAGGATCAGGAGCGAGCATCAACTTGAGCAGCAGAATGGAGGATGGCACTGATGGGTCACGGGGTTGGGCTTGTAGCAGCTGCTGATTGGCGGAGAGACAAGACCAGAACAATGAATCATGCGGATGCACAGACTGATTCACAGCCACAAGAAAATCAACAGTTGCACATACCTGTGCTTACATTCATTCATTTGTGTCAAGTTTTGGCTGGATAGCAAGTGGATTACTGTGTTGGAATGAAAATGAGATGAAATCAATTCATCTATCTTTTGTGCTCTTTGGCCACCAACAAAAAGCCCTGAAGCATGAATACAGAATTTGAAATGTACCTGCGATTGTTGGGACAATGGTTGAAATGTGAAATTTAAGCATGGTAAACAGTCAGCAGCATTTACTCTGTTTCTTCTTTGTCACAATAAAATACCTCAGTTCTTGAGAACTGACTTCACACTAGTAGATATGGCAAACAATTGTTCTCACGGTACATGCTATCAAATGCAAACCGTTCTACATTACTGCGTACCCTGCAGCATGTGATGCAATAATTCACTTTCAAGCATTTGTCTTTCACTGAGGATGAAGGATACAAAGGGAACCTTTGAGAATGACGTTCATAAAAGCAGTTATGCACGCTATACCGGTATAGCAGACCCCCACATATTCACGGTTTGGCACAAGCAAATTTGCATGTTAATTTTTTTTCTTTTATATTTTTTGGCGTGGGGCGGGGGTTCCGACAAACCACCCATTTTTTTCTGGGAAATAAATATTGAATGTTTTTTTGTTTGTGTTTTTGAAGACTTTTTGGGTAGATTAAAAAGTCCTCCATCACATTTTAATGACCATCAATTATACATGTATTTCCTCCTGTCGCGGGCTGGCTGAGAATCGCAGTATACAGTGATATTAAACTGTGTTTTCTGGGGTAATGCAAGTGGGGAGGAAAATTATTGCAGTGGTTTAGTCATGTGACCTTGCAATAAACAATCTAACATGTGGTGCGATCTCTATAAACAGCAAGTAAACCAAATGCAACTACTTTTTTGGGCAGAATTTATTCATGAAATGGTTTACAAATTTAAAAGTCACATTGTTACAACAGAGGCAGTGAAATACTAAGTTTAGGTAAATATTACGTAAGAAACTATGTACAGTAATCTTTAGTGAGAGAAGGATGCTACTGGAGTGCCCAATGCTTGGTACCTGCTCTGTCAAGAAAGCAAATGATTGGCACAATCTTAAGCAGCATCACGTCTTCCAGTCGCGTGTGAAAGTATGAGAAATTTGTTTTAGTTCAGTCTACTGTATGGAGGCAACTTTGAGGGACCTTCCTGCTCTGTGGTACCAGAGTCTATCGTCTGAGCTGGAGAGTTGAAGAGCCTGTCATCACCTCCAGCTACAAACAGAAAAGCAACATCAGACTCTCACAGCTGACAGTAAAAGGTTCACGATGGTCAAATGTCAGTGACTTGAAGATTGAGAACTGTTACCTTGCCAGGTACACACCATCTCAGCTTCCACTGGGTCACATTGTGGAACCAGTGTCTCCTGCAACACACACACACACACACACACACACACACACACACACACACACACACACACACACACACACACACACACACACACACTACAAATGGAGCTAACAACCTTGTATGGTTTGTATGTACTGTTCCAAAGGGTAAAAGGAAAATGTGTGGAAGGGTGAAGTAGCTAAAAAAAAAACAAACATTCAAATGTTGAAATTTATTCATTTACAGGTTTCACAATATACTGTAGGCAATGGAAAAATTGCATGTCGACCATTTGTTGTGGCCGTCATAAAGTGACAGGATTACACAGAGTTTAGGAGAACCAACCAATCGTCTCCTAATTTTACCATTAGTCTTTTCTGTTAAAAAGTCAAAATGATTTATAGTGGTTCATCACTGCTCATCTGTGATCCTCATCAGACATCGCCTGTCAGTAAAAATAAATGTGTTGACCAAATGCTCTTACGGGTATGTTTATCTTGCCTCTGTGTTTCAGACATCTGAACAGCTAAAAATAGTTTGTTTTTGTTTTTCACAAAAACCCATTCAGTGCCATCAAAACAAGAAAGAAAGAAAGAAAAAAAAAACAATCACTGGAGCAATGCGCATCCACTGAAGAAAATGTGTCCAGCTCAGTGCCTCTGTGAAGATAGAAAATGTAACTAACGCCGACGGTATTTGTACCCACCAGTCCAGTTCGGGCGTCGTAGCAGCCACACCGGGGTAGACTCCTGCAACCCACGTAAGCGATGAGGGACGACAGGAGCAGGCTGAGGGTGCAGCTTAAGATCGTGGTGGCGTTGGCACCCTTCACCATCCGATGGAGCACAAATGTCTGTGTAGAGACAACAAAGACCAAGCAAGCTTGTTGCACTCAAGTGTGATTATGACAGCAGATGGAAATAGAGAAAGTTTTCTGAATGTGATTACCACTTCGGGACTGTTATGATGGTGGAAGACCTCCTTATCTTCCTCTCCATAAGTGAGCGTTAGACAAGAATAGCCCAATACAAAGAAAGAAGCCACGCAAGAAAGGCACGCTGCTGCCACCATCACACTCACCTGGAGGAAGTACAGTCAAGGAAATGGTCATGTGCGCGAGTTGGCATTCATGTTTTTGCAACATAACTCCCTTCTTATTGAAATAAATTATTATGATAATCTAATACGTACAACTGCCTTTCATGCAGATGCCACAAGTTCAATTGTAGGCCATTGCCCCAATACCAAGCGAGCCACTTCAAACTGGATTAAAAAAAATACATGGGTTGTGACAAAAAATGTTTATGGCATAAAAACTGTGCTCAACAAACAAAAAAAAAAAATGCGATTGACTCGCTTAGGTGACACCGTGTAGGACAAACTGAAGAACAAACTGAAAATGTTCAATGTGGACAGATAATTACCGGCAATTGGTCTGTAGATAATTATTTACCCCCTCAGTCATATTGTATGTCATGCGTTGCTGCAGGACAGAGTACCACAAATCAAGCAAATTAATTATTGAATTAATTCAGATCGACTCGAGATTAATTTACCTCGAGAGCCTAAATGCGGTCACATGTCCCTAGAATGTATGCATTTTCACAATGTGCACCCCCACCCCACCAAGGAGACGAAGCAGAGCCCCCGGTCCTCGTACATGACAAATAGGAGTCTTCTTTGTCTTTCTGGAACGGATAATCTGGAAAACTGTCAGTAATTGCAACAATAGTCTGTTCGGCACAGGAATGCAAGCTCAATGACAGCCACACTTTGTTTTTCATTTGATTGCTTTAAATTTTATATGTTTCATTCAACATCTACTTACTACTTTTTCAAGCATGTCTCCTTCTTGCATGATTTTGTCATACATGGCATTGCTGATGCTTATGACCTTAGTTTTATCTTTACCAACTTCCACTTTTACAACATTGGCTGATATGTTAGAAAGTAGTCTTTCCAGTGTACAGGAATATTTACCAGTGTTGGATTTTTCCTTTGAGATGCAAACAGAGCCAAAACACCTGGACAAGCCATGACCTGAAGGAAAAAAAAAAGAAAAAAAAAGGACTTAAAAACACAAAGTGTATGGCAAATGGAAGACAAAAGAACCGGCAGGACAGTTTGGAAACTTGGGTTGGGTTGGAGGTGCTTTTCTATTAGACCCGCTCCACACCGAAATGGCCTCGCCTGGCCTCGGATGTTCGCGTTTCCGTTTGATTTTTTCGGGGCCAAAGAGCCAGTTTTCAGAGGTGGTTCTAGAGCACTGGCCATCTGAGGCAGAGCAGGGCCACATCATCACTGTCATCTGATTTGTTGAGAGATGCAGCAAGGAACTCCACACCAAATCTGAATATTGAATCTGCTACTGGTATTTGAAGTTATATTATTGCGATTATGGAATACTTGTAGGCAACAATAATTACTTTTGGCCAGTTTTGTCATCTTACATGTTGTCCTCACACACCCGAAAGTTTGGATGCACATTTACCTACCGATAAAGGTTAGTGATGACACGACATTGAAGTTGGACTTTTGTACCATTACAATACCGAACTACCGGTAGGCATTATGTCTTCCACTAAATGAAACACACGTTAAGTATGGCACGTCAATGCATTTGCCTTGTAGGCAACAGGTAGCCTTCAACAAAACATTTTAATACAATATTATAATCATTATGGCCTTTATAAAAATGTTTTTTTGGGAGGGGGGGCAGGAGAGGTAATGCACAATATGGCCCTGTGATGCGTCAAGTCAAAAATATGTGGGTCCGAGGGGGAGGGTCATCTCATTAATTATTATTCTACAAACGGGAGATTCATAAGAAAACTGTGATCAGATTATCAGGTCATTGTATTTCTTACTCCTTGCATTACTTTTCTACTTAGTTGTTTTAAAACCCATTACGTTTATACTTTTAAACAAAAAGAAAATACTGGAATTGAAACATCAACTTAAGCCTTTTTAAATCCCAATATCCATACTTTTACTTGAGTAATTAACATCAATACTTTTGACACTTCTGTTCCTGTATGAAATGTACTACACAATATAAATAAAGTTGCCTTGCCCCAGACAAAAAATGTTTTTCTGAATAATTTCAAAAGGTTACTTCACTATTAATTTTAAATATATTTAAAACAATCATCTTTCAGAGAGTTAGCAGAGTGGATAACTGGTTAGCACATCCACCTCACAGTTCACAGTGCGGCAGTCCAAATCCAGACTCTGGCATTCCCGTGTGACGTTTGCATGTTCTCCCGTGCCTACGTGGATTTCCTCCCACATTCCAAAAACATATTTAGTAGGTTCACTGAAGACTAAATTGTCTGTGGTTCTGTCAACTAGTTCAGTTCGCACAATGCCATTGTCCTACTCTTGTTTCACTAGTGGGCCGCATTAGGTCAAGTAAATGCATGCACATTATGGTCTGTAAAACAACGTAAACGGGAAGAATGAGCGACCAGTGGACTTGCTGTTGTTTTATTATTTCTACTAGATGTAGGAATAGCTCAGAATGTTTTTAACTCCTGCTGTGGGTGTAGGTAACTTTTAATTCTTGTTTTAAACTAAAAATACTCGAGACTGAATCAACAGTGCCAATGTCTCAATTACTTGGATGCAAGATGACGCAGTGCGCAGGTGTGATGGTCTCACCATTCCGCCCCACACTGGTGTCCTGGTTGTACTTAGCGGGGTATCCTTGCGGAAAACGGCATCCATGACGCCACAAATCAAACAGATCGCCGCACATGCCACTTGGAGGACACCCAGGAAGAGTACGCGCTTTTGGTTAAAAATTAAATACCTGAAGCGGTCCATCGCCAGCCGTCAACCCGCTCGATGGTCGACCAAAGGACGCCACGGCTGGCACAAGCGAAAACTTAATTTAGCATTCAGGCTTCTAGCTGGCAGTCGAAGAACACGATTCGGACTTGGCGTCTCCAAAAATCGAAAGTATGAGTTCTTAAATCCAGCCGGTTAAAAGTGCCTATGTTGTCCCCAGGTGGCGTCTGAGCGGCAGCGGGCAGGTTGTAAATTTGCTTTCAGTTGAACTGTAGGAAGTTTATGGTAATCATTTACCTGCCCCAGTGACAAGCGCACCACCAGTTTTTTTACATAATGTGTCCTGATTTTGGACTCGCAGGATATCATGTACAACACCTGTTACACGTTAGGATCCTCGCTCATAATTGCGCTTTAAAAAAATACATATATATATTGAAATACAAATTAAGCCACTAAACACACATTGAAAAAACAAAAATATACTCTTATACAAGTGTTGAAAGTCCAGGTTGGCAAGCCCTTCTTTAATATACTTCATATGAGTGGTTAGACAGCCTTTTCCGACTTCTGACTTGGAAAATTACAATAAAATGGCCCTTTGAACTGCTACGTCCGAGATGCGAAGTCGAAAAAAAAAGGACAACAAAACTTTAAAGAGTTCAATGTGACGAGCATCGCTATTTTTCTGTCTTTTGATTGCATGGTCACAACAAAAATTGTAATTTTGACAAGCAAAACATTCTCTGCAGATAAATACTAAGCAACACAATTCACTTTTTTTTCAAATAATACAGTATATTTTTTTCGTGTTATTAGATAAATAGTGATGGTTTCCCAAACTGTGGTGATTGTGGTGGGCATAGAGAGGTACTGTAGATTAAGTCTGGCATTGACTCAAACAGGTGCCAAATGCGTGGTCCACCATCTGTATACATATCAGAATGCATAGGAAATATACTGATCATACTGTATTTAGGTAAAATTTGCTGACAGACTTATTTGGATTTTAGCAATGATAATTTTGTACCATGCAACGAACTCACTGAATAAAGACCATAGTCCACTAAAATGTGTTTTGCCCAAGTGGCTGTAAGAATTTGACTGCACAGCCAACTGTTTCCAAAAATAAATATTTATATAGTCTACCATTAGCCAAGGGAATAAACCGACATTTGTGGGTCTAATTCTACAGACCCCACGATTTTACCAAAACTGAAAAGGTCAAACATGTCAAAATACCCTCAATTTAATATAAAAAAAAATATGAGAAGTATGTTGAACATAGTTAGAACTACCGGTACATACTTTATTTTTTTAATCTTGCATAGATTTTGCCATAATCTCATAAGGCTGCAGCTCGGAACAGTTTGCCTAGCATGTTCAGCATAGTGACCTTTTATACTGTATTTATGGTACAATATGTGGCTGCAGGGAATCCAAAGCGAATCCCAAGCAGCAGGGTGTTATATATAGTCCAGAAGGACGATCTGTAGCCTCAGTGGACTGTGGGAACTGCTTGTCCATGTTGGAACACATGCAGCTCTTGCTTGTACCAGTCAGGGGCCTCTGGGCCATTCTTCCCAGTCGCCCCATGATCGTAACCGTAGGCAACCGTCAGCTCCTCTTCCTTCTGTACAGCCCTTAGGGTTCGGATGCATTTTATCGACCCAAAACGGGGGTGAACAAACCTGGAGGGGGTGGACAAACACTTTCAAACTCAATCACATTGTCAAATATTCCAAATGGTTTTGTACTTACAAATCATATTTGCAGTTCGGGGTAAAAGAGTGGTTCGCCTTGTGACCTAGAGAGGCGCAATATCGCTCCGTTTGGTCAAATGGCTGAGGTACATCAATCACAGTGTCCTCGTCCAGTGAAATTGTGTTGCCGTTTAACGCCCAGTCTCTGTTGTCCACCTGAGGATTTGTGGAAAATAGGTTCAATGAGAAATACACACTGCAGAGAAAGGATACAAGATCATCCCGGAACGGTCCACACCTCCGAGTGTGTGATTCGTACTCCATTATAAAAGGCCACCACAGTGTCTCTTTCTGCATCTGTCTTGGCAAACAGACCTTGTCCAGCTCCTTTAATCAAGGAGTCTGCCACAAACACCCTAAACAAAAACATGTAAATATCGTTAAGTCCTGCAAGTCTGCCTCAAAGGGCAATATAAAGCGAACCGTCAGTACCTTTGGCTCTCGTAAGGGTCTGGCAGCATAGCGTGGGTCGCAATACAAGTGGAGGTAGACTTGTCGTATGTATAAACAGCATCTTGAAAAAGTTGAATTGCATTTGAGATTCTTTTTAATGTGTTACGTTAATTCACAGGCGAAGAGTTGAAAGTTGAAGAGAATACGGAATAGGGCAAGGCTTCCAATAAGATACTGCCAAGTATGAATCTTTGCCCATTCATCCTGAAGAACATCACAAATCTTTGGCATGAGGGTCTGGCTCTGTGCTGTTCTGTCTGCTGGATGAATAATAAGGATTTGGTGGGAATGACAGAATCTAGCAACACCTTGGTTGAATATTTAATTGTGATGACTTTTCCTGCCCTGCCGTCCACTCCTTGCCGGAGATTTGCGCCAGCCACTCGCAAAAGCGGCTTGTTTCTGGAGTGGCAATGGGTTCATTCTAGTTCCATTGAACTTAATGGAACAAATTACGTTTGTGAACCAAGGTCCCACTGTAGTGTACTAGAATTTTCTATTTGTCAGAAAATTTTGACTGACCGAATGTCGAAAATGGCGATGCATTTCCTTGTAAAATATAGTGCCGCAGCTGCTTGCATACCGCTGGGGGTGACCTGAAAATACGGCCTTCCATTCTCAGTGAGGACCAGGGTGGCAAGCCGAGCTTCGATGAGCTCTCCCTCCACAAAACTTCCACGAAGAGCTGTGCGTCCATCAGGGTAGATGTACGCTAATGATTCACCGGTCATCTCTCCCTCCTCGTTCACCTCTCCAAACACGCAGCCTCCATCCTGGATGCAACACAGTATGCAGCAACATGCAAAATAAATCTTTTTTTTTAATTGACGTTATTTGACCAATCGTTAGTCAGATTTGACTCACAGGGTAGTATGCCCAGCATTCGCCACAGCGGATGTTGTCTTTGTACTGGCCCTTGAACACCAGACGACCGTCTCTATCCAGCTCCTGAGCAGGCCCATTGAGTTCACCATCCACATACGTGCCATGCATGACACCTCCATCTTCATACGAATACACCCCTTGTCCCTGAAGAACATCATCCACGTAGAAGCCCTCCAAGGTGCTGAGCAGATGAGACAGAGGTCACTCAAGTAAATCACCTGAACTCAAATAATAACTTGATGACTAACTTCTGATTGTTTTTGTTTGTTTGTTTTTATTTCTTCAGAGCATGAACATCAAATAAAAATAATCAAAAAAATATATAAATCAGCAAATTCAGATACGGATGAAAAAAAATCATATAAAAAAATAAAATATGATTGATAAAATCTTTATCAAATAATAAATTAAGGCAAATTCAGCCCTGAGAAATGGCTGAGGCTATTTTGTTTTCCACTTGTTAAACAGCACAATGGTCTCAACAAAACAAGAGTACAGTAAATACAAAAAGTCGACACATGGCTGTTCAAATGCCAGATTTTTAATGAGAAAATAAATGAAACCAAGGTACATCATTTCAAAATATTTCCTAGCATTAATACGACCCATAACCTGTACAACTCAAATGAATTGTCAAAAATCTTTGAGAGGAGAGGTAACGATAAAAAACACCTGAAAACGCGGTTGAAGAAGTGTGCACACCATCTTATAACTGGTATGTGGCTGTGCTCCGAAGTAACCAATCACATGCTGCTTTGTTGACCTTAAAAATGTCCCATCAAAGTAATACAACACAGTTAACTATATCGTCAAACGAAAGTACAGTACCTTCCATCAAAGAAAAAAAATTTGCCCTTTCCATTTTTCTCTCCGTGTATAAAGTGTCCTTCAAAGCGATCACTGGATGAGTAGGTCACCGTGCACAGTCCGTGAGGTTGCTCATCTTCATCCAGTGGACCTAAACACAATCAGTGATTTAACTAAAAAAGAAAGGCTTTAGTTTCTCACCACTGACTAGCAACCGGCACTTTAACATCAAAATTCCCAAGAACATGTAGCTGGTGTGGCCCATTGTTATTTTCACAAAGCAGTCAAGGTCTCCGGAACATTTATGTAAATCAGGCTGAGGACAGCAGAAGCAACTGCACAACATATTGCATCCACCGTTGATGGCACAGAAAAGAGACCCAACTTACTCAAAACAAATAGTGTCATTAAATCAGAGCAGTCCATCGTTACTAGTTGCTCTCCAGCACTCCTAAGACAGACACAAGTGAACTGGCCCTGTCTGTTTAAACCAGTCACTTCTTGATGAACCAAGTAGGCCTCTTCTTCGCTCTTATCCAGCGACAAAAGTTGGACAGCAGGATCATGCCTTAAGTTGTAAATGCTATGAGGACTTAAGATGTTGTACATGTGATTGATTTTTGAAGTGACACAAGTTCTTTGAACTTTTCATTTCAGCATTGCAGCCGCACTTTGTATCCTATCTTATTTATTTTACTTTTCATAATTCCTCGTTCTGATCCAAAACAATATTTCCTATGCATTGAAGAAATACACTTGTACCATTTTGGATGTCTTGTCTGGTTACTGACATGGCTGCTGTCAGGTGCTACCTGCCACCATTGTGCTTGGAACATTTTTGCCAATGCATTTTAGTCACTTGTATGAGACTTTTCCCATTTTGTTTGATATTCTTTGGTCGAATTTAGTTAAATGTACTTTGATACAGAACATCCCTGTGACGTGCTTCATACCTTTATTGAAAAAACGAGAGGACCTCTCAAGTAAGTTAAGTAATCAAAAGCGATTATTTTTCCTCATCCAACTCGAAACGTGACGTGTTTCATACCTTTATTGAAAAAAACGAGAGGACCTCTCAAGTAAGTTAAGTCATCAAAAGCGATTATTTTTCCTCATCCAACTCGAAATTACACTCCACCACCACCCAGCTCAGGGGAAAAAATGCTGGCGCTGTGGATGCATATTGAGTGACAACAGTTGAGAAACACTCATTGTTCTAAGTTTCAAGCCGTAAACGTGACATTATTATGAGCTATGAGCAAGATATCGGTTTGCGTTGTATTAGTCGCCTATTTATCGACTGTATCTGCGAAATGTTCATTCGTGGACATGGTAAGTTTTTTAATTAAATCCCAGAACCGAGCCAAACAAGAAATGTATTCATTCACCAATACCGTTACTGGACAACTGCCATTCAGCACAGGTGCGTGTCTTGCACGTTTTTCTTTGGGACGACACGTAGCTACAGTGGAAGACTGGGAAAAGTCAGACAGCTCTCGCGCGCCTGTCGGGCGGGTTTCTTTGTCAAATCGAGGTCCTGGCTTGTCATGTTGCAGTGAAGGCCCACTAGCGAGCACGTAGCGAGCCGACGTGCGGAGACTCGCAAGAGCTTTGTCACCAAGATTTCTACGGTGGAAATATATACTGTAATTCAAATGTGGTGGGCCTCTATTTCCTTACCTTCCACCACCTCCTCCACGTTCTCATCCTCGCTATCCATCCTGCAGGACGCCGCTACGAAGTGCTGAGCAAAACACAACTCCCACAGCTATCCGCCACGCGTGGGGCGTCGCCAAGAGATGGCAATGCCGTATGACAGCTGTGGCCACTTTTGACACAAGCATGAATTACGATCAGAATGCGTATAATTACCACGAGTTGTCAGTGGACGAAAAATTACGCACTTTCTCAAATAAAGTTGAGGTAAGCGTACTTTTTTGTTAGTTAATAACAGGGACATATAGATTATGCGACAACAAAGACGGAAAGACAAGAGTCATCCTGATGTAGGTCCAGAGGTTTTGGACCTCAACACTTGTGGGACTTGTTAAACGCTTTGAGCAACACTGCAATAGGCAAAAAAACCAACAAAAAAAAACATGCTTTTACCCAAAATCTAATTGCCCTTTTCAAACTAGTCATGAATCAGTTGTGAATAACACAACGTTGGACGATATAATCATACTGGTATGTCACTATCTTTCATTAAATATCATGATCACTTTTTCTTTAGGATTATTTTTTTTATGCAACACCCTTTTTCTACAGTGGCTGCTGGTAAAAGCTTTTCTAAAAACTCACAAAAATTTTCATGGGGTGTTCTATGATGCAAACCTGTCTTTGAGGACTTTTGACAATATGCATAAATCACGTGGTCTCCAGCAAGGTGTGAATGTTTGTAGCTTTATTTATGTAGGTACTGTATTTGAAAACAGATTCTCATTTGCAATGCTGAGAAAAATAACCTGTACAATGTATTCTAGTGTGTTTACGTGACACGTTATATTACAATGTAATGTTCAGTGAACACCGAGAAAATGGTGTTGTACACCCACTAGTTAGTCTGTGTTTTAGCCAAGTAAATGCCCAGCAATTAGTCAGTTAGAAGCAAAGAAAATCGAGGAATTTGTCTTTTTTTCTTTTTAACACTACGTATTTCAATCTTTCCAATCGGTGTTGGTATGATGTTATTTCCTGCCCTCTGTCGGCGGGACTGAATAACTACATCAACAAACACTTGAGGGCGGAAGTGAGGTGAGAAGTTCCACTCGCGCTTCCGATCTCGTAATCCACTTGTTGAAGCTGAGCGAGTTAAGAAGGTTCGTTAAACGGATATGTTTATTTAAACAATAACAGTTTCATTTGAGTGAGCGCCATGTTAGGCTTTCGGGAAGCTGGCGTCATCGGTGTCTCCGTGGCTCTGGCTGGGGGGCTGGCCTATATCGTCTGGAACTACGCGTTCTTCTCTAGGGAGTCCGGTGAAACTCGCCCGGGGGACAAGGGTGAGAGCTGTCGGCAGAGGCGAAGGCCCGCCGGAGAAAAAACGAAGAAAGAGGTGGTGGAGAAGAGGGGTGAAGACGCCGAGGAAACCGTCGATGCCCGCGTCGAGACTATTTACTCCGCCGAGAAAGCCCGGAGAGTATCCGAGGTAAGCGTCACCTCCGGCGGGCACACTTTCATCCACACCTCGGTGATGCTTCAAAGCGCCGGAGAATCACACACCTTTATCATGATGTAATCATGGAATTCAACTTTTAACTTTTTTAAAAACTACCATCAAAGTCTCTAATGACGCCACGGGAAATTCTTATTTGAATATATCGAAAAAAATATCAGTATTGCGATAATGGCCCATGCATTTTACATATCACAAAGACTTGTAATAAGTTTCACGTGGAATTGTATACTTTTATTTAAATTTGACCAGTCCAGCGCAACCTTAAATGCACAATGCCATCCAAAATGTGAACAGTATCCATGAGCATTACAATTGATTTGCTCAGAATACATTGAGCTTGCATGTTTTGTAGCATGAAAAAAATGTTGATTCTTTCATTAGATAAAAACAGTTCTTTTGGTACATGTTAAATATCGCGATAATAATGATATCACAATAATCAACACCCATCTTGCATGTTTTTTTCCAATATCGTGCATGTTAGCTCTTAAACATCCAGCAATTAGTCCGAGTCTTGAGTACAGAACACCTAGAAAATAGTGTGTATCTTAAAGCCAATCTTCACTTTTAATCAGATTTGTGCTTGTGTGTGCAGCAGTCAGCATCAGTTAAGACAGAGGGGACTCAGGTGCTGGTTCTGGGTCTGGATGGAGCTGGTAAATCCAGTCTGCTCTACTGTTTAGCCATCGGTAGCCTGGATGTGGACATTGAGCCGACACAGGGCTTCAACGCCGTCTCCATTAACAGAGAAGACCTGCACATTGAATTCCTTGAGAGTGAGTCCATTTGAGAACCAGTCATACATTTGATTTTCTTGATGAATAGCTCTCAAGTTGTTGAAACTTCAAGTTAGTCTGTTACTTTCTTTAAAACCAGCAACGGGTTTGTTTTTCAACCGCCTCGTCTTGTGTATGTCATCAGTCGGCGGAAAGGCAGAGTTCAGGCCTTACTGGCCGAGGTACATGTCCAAGGCTCTGCTGCTGGTGTTCGTGGTGGACTCGTCTGCTCCGCAGCTCTTCGGCGTCGCCAAGGCACAGTTGCACAAGCTGCTCACTGCCGACCCCTGCTTGCCGCTAATGGTACTGGCTAACAAACAGGTGAGGATGACAGAAACACTCGAAAGCACTGGTGTCAAAATCCGGTCCTCGAGGGCTGCCGTCCTGCATGTTTCCCTTCTGTCCGTGTTGCAAAAGGCCTGATTCAAATAACGAGATCAATATCAGGCTTCTGCGGAGCTTGCTGATGAGCTGATCATTTGAATCAGGGTGTGTTACAAAAGGTTGAGATGGAAAACGTGCAGGAAAATGGCCCTTGAAGACCGGAGTTTGACAAAAAAAAAAAGAGATATATGTATTTTTTTTATTAATCAGCTGATTAATAAGTTAGCAGAATATTTTTCTGCCAAAAATCAGGATCGTCCTAAAAAGCAACAAAAAAACCCCCCAACATATTACTCGGGCCCTAATTATTGATTTCTATTTGGAGATGATAAGTTTGTTGGTTTGGAAAAACGGGATCTGTTCACTGTAAGTGCATATCAATACACGATACAATATTTTTGTCCAATTTATCTTGCTTTCTCTCAATATATTAAATGTGTTTGTATTATTTTAAAAGCGTGTCTAAAGACCTTAAAAAATGTGCCGTAAAAAGATAGGTCGGTACTATTCAAATAGGGTATTTCTGTATTACAGACTTTTTTTTTGAAGGGGCTGGGGGTCTGTAACGTAACCCCCGAGAATGAGCGAGTTCACTGTAAACCAGAAAGTCAAGGTAGCAGTGTACTTCCATGACAAATTCCAATTTAGACAGGCCTTTGGCACCATCTTGTACAGATGAACACAAAAACAATGAATATGCAAGTTTTTCTGTAAATAATGGCGAATTATAATAAATAAAAGAAGAAATGGCATCTTTCCTTGAAAAGGCACACCAACAAGTGTTGTCTCGTAGGATCTCCCGGGTGCCTGCAGCATCACCGACCTGCATGACGCTTTGGAGCTTTCTGAGGTGGGAGAGCGCAAGATGTTCCTCATCGGCACGTGCGTCAAGAAGGGCGAAGCTGAAGTCAGCTCGGGCGTGCGGGACGCCCGAGAGCTCATTATCCAAATGGCCAGCGGCAAGTAAACGTCGGTCGACCTAATTTTCTATTTCCGCGCCTTTACGCCCGCCGGTGTTATTATTGTTCTGTTGTACTCATTTCGCCGTGTTCACGGGTGGTCGCAAAAGTAGCGGTGACTGAAACAAAGTTGAAACTGAACCAAAGATGTTTTCAACGAATTTGTCGTATAAAAAGATCATTTTTGGACAACTTTTTTATGGGTACAAATATGGCTTTCATCTAATATTGTGACTTGTAACTTTTTTTTTTTTTTTTTCACGAAAGGATTTCTTGTAATTGATCTATACACGTAATATGACGATGAAGAGTTTTTCTTAAAATACGCAGCTATAATTGCGAGGAAAAGGTCATATTTTAATACATTAAAATTGTAATGTTGCAATTCCCATTTTTTTGGAAAAAAAAGTTGTGTGTAAGAAAATACTCGTAATGTTAAAAAGATAAAGTCAAGATATTGCATGGAAAAAGTCATCGTCGAGCAAAATGTCATGTTGAAAGTATTATTCTGACTTTATTCTGGTATCTTTTTTTTCTGCATGTAATATTGCGAATTTCTGCTCATAACATTTCAAAATATATCATTCTGGAAACATTGTTACTTTTTCTCTTGTATTACAATGTTATTTTTGTCACATTGGTACTCTTTAGATCGCCATCTTTTACTGTGTGGCTATGATCTTCCTCACGCTCCATTTTAGCTTGGAGCATGACTCCTTACAACCACAAGATGGTGCCAAAGTTCAATGAAAGATTTTCAGGAAACAGTCAAGCAAAAACTGTTGAAAACGTGTTTTTTTTTTTTTTTTACAACAGTTCTGAAGTGAGGGGGACTATACCGCGTGTGAATTGCTACTTGAAAAGTTATATGACAGTAACTTATACTGATGAATGTCAATATGGTGATTTATTTTTCAACTTGAAAAAATTTTTAATTTAGAGATTTTCAAGATAGAAAATTGTAGATTTTCTAAATGGGGTTTTACAAGAACAATGTCATTACTCAAGTTTAAAGTTATCGAAAAATGTAGATTTTCAAGTTAAAAAGTCGTATATATTCAATATTAAAGTCATATTTTTGAGAAAATGCTGTATATTTTTGATATTATACAACATATTTCACATGAAATTATGTCTTTAATTTCTTACATTAACCTATTATTTTTCTATTTTTCTTCTTTTTGGGATTCTAACCAAAAATCCCCCAAGTAAGAATTTTTTTTCTTTTTTTTACCAATTAAAATTAAAGAGCATTGTGTATTAAATTTGGTAGTTTTTATTATATTATTCACTTGATGTCCTGTAGAATTACGTCAGGTGAGGCATGTAGAGTGTGACTCGGGTTTCACGTGTGTGGTTGCTACGGACTCGCGTCTCCATGGCAACAAAGGCCAGTAAGCGAGGCTCCTTCCTGACTTCTTCCAGTTGTGTTTTTTTTTTTTTTTTGCGGAAAAACAAGGTAAAGTGAGAACAGCCAGGATATGTCATGCGATAATCTTAAAATATTTATTTGACAATATGCGCATAGTCTTATGATTTATTGCAAGGATCAATATATAGTTTCCAAAATTATTCAAACAATGACAATCTGAAAATATATTGTTTTTATCTTATTTTTACAATAAGTCCAGCAAAAGAAGTTTAATAATGTTATGATTTTCATTAAAAAAGAACATTCTTGTTCGATTCGATTAAATGAACATGATTTAAACGGTTTTACACACACACACACACACACACACACACACACACACACACACAGAGACTGGGCATGAACTCAATTTCTGCGCTTTAATTTTGGCCATCACTTCCCCTCCCCTGTCAGCCTGTCAGATTAAAAGCACACTCGAGCGCCGTTGTAATCGGATCAAGAGCCCACACAGGAAGCGCAACTCTTGGGACCGATCCTTCCCCACTGTAATTAAACACGACGTAATGTCATTTATTAGCAATGATTGCTGATGGCTACGCTACGATAACACATTGTGGCTTCAAATCACGCACAGCAATAATCCAGTCACAGTGGAACACTGCTATTCGCCTGGCGGTCGAACTGGCAATCATAGACGGATTGTGTTGTTCCTTTGAGCTGCTGTAACAGATTCTAGTGTTTCTGATGTTGTGTTTAGTCCTAGTTTGGTGAAATTAGGAGCCAAAACAGCTGCAGCAGACATTGCTGAAGAGTCCCTGTAACGTCTTTTTACTTACCCAGGCTAATCCTGGCTCCTCCCCAACACATAGATCTTCGAACATTCAAGATATCACTTCATCACACTTTTTTTGACACCAATGTACTACTTTCCTACGTGATAAGGCTTTGGCGTTTGTGGGAGATGACTAATCAATTTAGATCGAGTTGGGTTTTGTTTCTGTGTGTAAACAAGACAAGAGTGCATGGAGAGTGCGTAGAAGAAGTCAATAAAAAAAAACAAAAAAACAAGTTGCTTCCAAGTGGCAAATTCCTCACAGCTCTGCTCGCTCCTCTTAGCAACAAACAAAAACAAGGCACCATTTGCATTCGGTTTGCAAAGTGCTCCGAAACGTCACAAAATGCTCACTCAAGACATTTAACATCGCTTTGCTTGTTAGGTGAAATTACGGTAGTCATACGCACAACAGTTTGTGATTAAAAAATAAATAAAAAAAAAGCTTCCATTTAAATTTCATTTAAGGTGGAGAAATTTATTTTACTATATTTTCAAAAGTAGCATATTTTACGGACAATAATCACACAGAATTTTGGGTCTTGTAGCCTATAGGACACAAATTTAAATATTCAAGATGGCAATTTTAAGACCTCAACAATTATTGTCATACATACAGTATATCACCAGATTTCGTTTGTTATTCAAAAATATGTATTTATAAAATTATATAGCGACATATAATGATATTTCAAGCTTGAAAAATACAAGTATTAACCACAGTTTGGCATTACTGAAGTAAAAGGGCATCATGAACATTGAAATGTACAACTACGGAATATTAAAAAAAATGTATGTCATTAAAAACAAGAACATTTAAAGCTGTTTTTAGCATACTGCCAGCTGCTTTACAGCGTTTTGATTGATTCAAGGCCCAACGAATATTGTGTTCTGTGATAATATAAGCACCAAACCTACCAAAAGAAAGAGTAGACTTATATCTTACATCTTACATTCTTTAGTCACAAGCAGTAAATAATAGATTGGTTTCACCCAAAACAGGTTTCGGACCAAAAACCAGAGCAAACATGTTTTTTGGGTGAAGAAATATGTCAAGCACAACAGTGATTTTGACACTTATATTGTTTTTCTTTTTTCACCACACCAAACTTAAAACAACAAACACGAGTCTGAGAAAGGGCTTCAAAATAGTCACAACTAAGAAATGCATCATGAGTGACATTAACTCACTGCATGGGTCAAGTTGAACGTCCATGGCTTTTTTTCACGGCATTTGCCATTCACTCCATGAACGCGTCATCTGTTCTCACAATTGTGACACACGCTTTGTACCACGAGACACACACTTTGTACCAACTGCCGCAACACACGCAGTTTATGCCATACTTATGCACTCTGCTCAAGTGTTACTCCAAGTCAAAAGATTTAATTTTCAAATGAACTCAGCGCATGTTTGTGGCACTAACACAATACTGCAATATAACACACACTTGATGAGCAGCATACCAGAAGTACCTGTTGGGTGGTTTCAGCCAAGCAGGTTGTGCAAGCACTTTCTAACCGCATGCAGGAAACCTCAACCTCCATCTGACCCTGGCCCTCCTTCTTTTAAACTCACTTCACAAACTCTTTCACAATGCTGTATAGAGGAATGAACCGTAGTTACCAACATAAAGGATGCCATGTTTTCATAATTTCACATAGTTCTTAGGTGTCTCTGTAAAATTCTGGTTGAAATCACTGTTTTGAGGGGGCGGTACTTTCTAATGCAGCTGCGTCAGATAGTATCGGTCTCCTGGTATCGTACCATTTTTATGCATACAAGTACATATGTACAATATGCCCACTTTAGGCATTTTCAATAACCTCCAGTGTCCAAAGGAGTGCTCATTGTTGTACATTTTGTTTATCAACAGTACACCGAGAAAGAGAGAGTGCCAAAGCTAGCGCACGACTATGAGCTCACATCCTTTTTCCAGACGGGTGGACAATGGAATGACATCACCTGTCACATGTTTGTCCCGTGATGCCGAGCGTAGCGTCCGGCTAGTGTTTCTGTCTGTACCGTGGGCCAGAGCCTTTGAGTCGGGCCCACCAGATGACAAATAATACGTCAGAGGAAATGTAAAATACCAGAGGTGGAAAAAGTACTCAATACTTAAGAAAAAGTAAAGATTCATGTGTAAAAGCAAGATTTTGGTAAAGTACTGATTCAAATCCTTTACCAAATTAAAAGTAAAAAGAAAAAGTTCACTCTTAAATGTACAATGCAAAAGTAAATAATATTCTGTGGTACCTTAGAGGATTTGTACTTAGTGGCTTCCCATCATGGGAAAAAAGTACAAGTAAAAAGTACATATTTCAAATGAAGGGGGTTCAGGTAAAGAATGGTCAAATAAAGCACAGACACCTGAAAAATTGGCAATACCGTTAAAAAAATCTTTCTTCGGTTCTTCTTGCCACTTAAAAAAAATGAGCCTGTAAAGTACAGATACCTGAAAAGTACCGTAACAAAGTATTTGTGCTTAGTTTCTTCCCACAACTGTTGAAATGCCCCCTAAACACGACACAAAGACCAGGTTAGCCATGTTAACGCTTAATTTATTCACAATAATTTCATGTAAACACATTGGTTATATAGTCAACAGCACACAAGAACCTTCACAATCCATAAATTCAAACAGCTTCATAGATCAAATGAAAAGAGTCAGGAGGAAGAGGAAGTTCCAGGAGAAAGGTCCAAATAGGAGTTGGGGGGGGGGGTGGAATGATGGGTTGTGGGTGGCTCTCAATCCAACACAGAGCCCAGTTCAGCCGGAAGACCCTCGGCCTGGCGCCACTGAGACGTGCGCTGCTTGAACCATTTCTGGAGGGAACACAGAAGATGGAGGGAGGTGTTAAAACAATTGTGCTGTTTTTTTTTCCCCCCCTTTGACAACAAATTCCTCAGCACCTGAAAGATGAGAAGTGATGATGTAACAGACATGAATAGTCCTGAGAACAGGTGCACTTGTGATTTCCCCCAACAAGGTTTTTAAACAAAACAGTGGCTTCTGTAAACATGCAGCAGGGTACTTGACATAGTAAAGAATCTGTGGGACCTAAGCCCTTACTGGGACTAAGTGCCAAATCACTTGGTCGAGTTTTTCAGCGCTTCTATGTTGGTTTATAGCTAGGTGTCCAAAGTAGAACCCAAATCAGTTGGTCAAAAGTAACATATGTATTCTTGAAAAAGTAAATTAAAAAAAAAAACATTTTTGTGCATAGGTTTTCTCATGAAGACCCTGAGAAAAGCCATGTTGGCATTAGGCTATTTTGGAACACTGCTGTATATGTATGTATATAAATACCTTAAGTGGAAGTACAGTAAATCTCTAGGCACTAATTCAGTAACAGTTTATTCTGTGTACATTTTTGTCAGTAGTAGTTTTTATTGGCCACTTGTATGTCTTTTTTTTTTCTGGGCTCTTGGGCCTTTCGCCGTTTCATAACCGAGGCAAAGTTGACTGCTTTTACAGCTCCCACTCCTCCAAGCAAACAAGAGGCTCGAAGTCGCGGCGCATAGAGTCTCCGGCACGTTGTAAATGCTGTTTATGTGAAACGGGGAGTGGCGCGCAGCCTCGTGTGTTACTTCTATATGTGTTCCTGTCTATATGTTACTCTGTGTGTGTTTGTGGAGTTAAACCTTCCCCAATGAGGGCTTTGTTAACCATCCAAAAACGCTTTGTGAGAGGAAATGAAGTCAATTCTTTTGATCAGGTGCCATATGTGAACCTTGCACACCGCCCAGACTGCACCAAGCCCTCTCACACACAATTAATAGAAGCACTTGCAAACACTTGGTGTGTGCTTGCATGCGTGTGTAACCCATGTGTGACTTTTTACAATAGTAACTCACACACGCTCACTAAAACATGCAGACACACATGAAGGGAAAGTGCCATACCATACTTTGGGAGGGGGAATCACATTTTATTCATTTATTCATTTTTTTAATAATCTTTGAGATCCTTTTATTGTATATGCAAGATGATTTGGTTTCGAAAAGTCCAACATTCCCCTTTTCAGATTGCACACTGGATTTCTTATGGATATTCGAAAAAAAGGCTTCACTCTGATTGGAGTTTTGTGGAACACCGCTTTGCTGTGATTGGTAGTAGGCTATACATTGGCGTTTTGAGGTAGACAGGCGTTCAACACCCCGTTATGTTTTGATCCTTCAATGTAAGCTCTTACTAACATTATCGGGTAGAATTCACCAAGCGTTGGATTTTTCGGCCAACGAACACCAAACAGGAGATGGCTCTGGTCTCGACCATCGTAACCGTGTTGTTGCAAAAGTAATCATGGAAACCGCTGAGTTATAGTGTTGTCCGGGCCATAAGACACACTTATTACACTTTAGTTTTCTCAAAGATCTGCAACGTGTCTTGTAATCTGGTGCACCTTGCATATGGATGGTTGTCCACTTTTCAATTGTTCATTTTTAATTCAAATTCCTTCCAATTACGTTGGGGTTCTCATTGTAATCCACAATTAATTGCAAGCAGGCGTCCATGTTCTCATCACAATGAAGGTACAACTACTTCCTGCTTCTGTGCCTAAGAATTATGGGAAATGTAGTTTTACTAGTCAGATGCCTCGGTCAGACTGAATGTGAACTGAGCTTTTCTTTTGGTCAAAGGTGCTAGTGATGTGTTGTAGTACAATATAACTTTTCGAATACAAAAACTTAACGGCTAGTGGGGAGAGGTGGGTAACCTACGAGACTTAAAGAAGTCTCCCCAAAAATGTGCCCAAACACAGCAGCATTCTGGTTCTGATATACTCTGGAATTTCCCACCATATAAATTGAAGCTATTTATTACTCGACTCATCTGAGGTTTGCAACTGTTCTAAAGTTTTAGCTTTGCACAACATTTTTGTCATTTTTTTAAAGTGAATATCCAATCTGGAATTGAACTTTTTTTTTTTAATCTGTTACTGATTTAAATCAGGGGTCAGTAAATAGGTTGCAGGTAAATTTTTCTTGGGCGAGCCTCAGTTTCTGAGAGTTTTTGCTCAGAGTGCCAAGTGTCTGTCTGTTAGATCAGGTTTGTTTACGCTGCCGATTCGTGCTGGTAAATGCTGTCAAACCTGGCCTAACTAGTTTGTCGGCTTAGCATGGAAAAAAAAAATTATGCACAATTTGCAGAAAGATGAAAGCGTTTTAAAAACAGAACAACTTTACTAATGTGGGTCTTGATTATTGATGTGGGCGGAATATGATGTTGATGATGGTGAGTGATACTGGACGTGTCCACATCACTGTGGTATCTTTACAAGGGAGGACACTCTTAAAATTAAAAAGTTTTACACCTACTGGGGTGTTAAATGTTTGTTAAAAACTGTCAAAACCTTTTTTCGTTTGTTTGCCCCCCCCCCCACACACACACACACATATTTTTAGGCTTTGTGATACTTAGTCTTTTTCAATATGAAAATAGCTTTGAAATCCAAACAAATCTGTTTCCCCAACTTATCAACACCCCTCTTTGGTTTTCTGTTTCACACTTGCTGACTCGAATAATTCCATTCCAGTGCAACTTTTTTAACCCAAACTCAATTCCAAAACTGACCACAAGAGAGCCCACAGGGGCCAAAATGGTTGCACAATATGGGTTGTAATGCAGTGTGCCTCTAACTTGGATATTTGAAACAAATACGACAGAGAATGCATAATTACAAAATAGAATAAATGCAAATACGTTCAAAGTAATATTTTCATCGTTACATTGAAGTGTGTGAAATGTTATACATATATCATTTAAAATGTACAAACATATTTTTAATGATCAAATTCTGTTTAAGTCATGTTGGAACGGGATAATCTTGTCTTCTGCTGGAATACAAATACAGTTTACATAAAACGACATAGTAGTTGCATGAAAAGGATGTATTTTAACATATATTGTCCAGTATTGTGTTTGCTTTTAGGTGTTCTAACATTCACTGAACTAATTATAAATTATTTACTAAACTATTATCAACAAACTAAATTATAATAAAACTTGTGTTTTTATTAACTAATTTTACTTAAATTCAAGCACTAGACGAGATTAAAAGGGGATTTTTAAGAGTGCCACTTTTGCGAAAATAAAAATATATTGACAATATGAATAGCATGATTAAATGAATCTAATATTTACATTATTAAATGTTAGTATCATAAAACATAATATTAAAAAATGTATTGTAACTAGACATCGTCGAATCGTAAAGTACGATTCCATTCGCGCAACCTGCATGCGTCCGAGTGATCGGGGCACGACTCACCTGCGTCTCCTCCTCCGAAAGTCCACACTCGGCGGCCACCAGCGTGAGCGTCGTCGCGTCGGGAACCTTGCCAGGTTTAAAATTCTCCTCCAAAACTTTGGTCTGGTACTCGGACAACTTCATGCACTCCATGTCGTCGGTTTAGCGCGGACTGGAGGAGGGAGGCAGGGGGGGTTAGCTGCGGGCGGGCTGTACAATGCGGAGGCTCTGTTGTGTGTTCTTGGACGACTCGCCGTTGGCGTGTGATGGCTCCCCGCCGGCGGCCGCCGAGCGGGAGTCCCGAAGGTCGGAGCGCTCCTTTGGTGGAGGCGGAGCACTGACGTCAGGAACTACATGACACCCGGATAGTGATGTCAACATTCCTGTGACAGCTTGGAACGGTCGCAATGCAGAGATGTCACAAGTCATTTAACTGGAAATGAGTAACACTCAATGATTCAGTTTTATTTTTAAAAGTAACTGCAACTGCCTCGTTTGAATTTCACCAGTCAACGGTGCGACATATACTGACTGTCATTTGGACTAACCAAGGAAGAATCAGTGATGTAAGGAGCCATTTAAGGGCACTGCGTATAGACCCACAAATGACAAATTACTTCGTAGACTTAACCAATGACGATCTAGATTAGTTTTTAAGAAGCGTATGACGTTGTTTTTGAGGAAGTTGTATGTTTGAGTATTCTACATGTTTTATATACTTAGTTCTTGTCAACATCCTTGTCTGTTTGTGAATTGAATTGTTCAATAAAAAAAAAAACTAATAAAAAAGAATTCACAGCAAAGACAAAAAAGAAGTCACCCTCTTCCCCATGAAGAACAAAAAAAAAAGATTTGCCTTTTAGTGCCCCCCCCCCCAAAAAAAAACAGGATCACGGTTTTTAGGAAAAGTACATGCCGATTGACACATTTTTTTAAGGTCCTAAAAAGAGTGCATCTCAGATTTGACTAAAATAAATGCATTAAAAAGTACGTATTTGAACTACCAAAATAGAATACTGTACTGTCATTGTAAGTTTACGTAGCCTCACGTTACCATGACGACAATTTGCTTATTGACATGAGTGAAAGCGTCAACTTCCTGATTTCATTCCAAGTAAAATGATATTTTATTGTGGCACACGTGCTAGTCAATCACACATAGACTTTTGGTCACCATGGTGACCCAGGATATCGGTGCTGATAAACTGTCAGTTTATGATGGCCAAACATGGTACAATACCGAGGAAAGCATTAAAAAGCGTCACTGAGGTTGCGATATAAAAGGTGATTGGCTCTTAGGACGCTTTTAGCACATGACGCGCTTTACTGCGATGGCAAATGTATGCTAAATAACATTTGTGATGTTAAATTGTCATAGAATAACAAACGTGCAAGGTTGTTACCTTTAGCATTATCCTCTAGCCACTTAGCAGATATCGAATTAAAATTACACATTTTTCACCTACAGCTCATGAACATAGTTTGGATTAGTAGTTGACTGATAGTGTGAAAATAATGCTAAAAACATTCAGTTTAGATGCATTGAAACATATTAAAAGTGAATAGATAAAATTGTAAATCAATTAAATATAAAAATAATATATAAAAATGGAACTAAAATGAAATATTTTTTACGTATTTTTTCACTTTTTTAATTGAAAATGTATGAAACTTCAAGTTAAACATTAAATAAAATCTGAAAATAATTCGGATGAAGTGGAAAAAATAAAATGCAATGAAATGTAAAAAATACATGACAGTAAATACATTCATAAAAATAAAAGCAAAATCAAAATACTGTAAATGGGGAAAATGAAATGACAGCAATTCAAAAAGTGTATAAATGAATAAAAATGAAGATAAATGAGTGAAATCAAAGGTTACAAAAATATAATTTGTAAAAAGTAAAAATACTGAAATAAAAGGGAAAATCAAGTAAAATATGACAATTAAAATATAAATGAAGAAATGAAAGAAAAAACTGAATCCATGAATAAAAGTAAAATAAAATGCAATGGCAAACAGCAAATCTTAAAAGCCAATCCAATCGCTTATTTTGAGCCTTTGCATCAAGCATACACATGGAGAGACAGACGGCAACCAGTTGGTGTTGCTGATGAACCCCGAAGTGGAACAAGCGAAACGTGATGATAAGAGCCCGAGTGTGAGTCCACAATGGAGAGTGCACATGACGGGCCTGCCTGAGTAAAAATAACACAAGTCATGACCCTTCACTTCCTGTGCTGTGCGCTCACTTCATTTGGGAACAACAACAACCACCCCAGGAGATTTCTAGTTTTTTTTTTTTTTTTTTGTGTTTTATTTATAAATTCCCTCCAGGAATGTGGCAAACCAAAAAACATCCCAATTCATGTTCCACTGGGAATGAAAAAGTTGCTTGAGCCACGGATCTGCTTGGTGTGAAGGTTTAGTTTGTGACTAAACCGGGATGCCGGGGGAAGTTGATGAGCATGAGGACGGTATGGCGTTGAATAAGGAGGTGTGGTTTTGTGGAAGAAAAGAGCGTGGGCGATACATAATCGGGATGAGGGAGATGAAGGGGGTCAAAATGCTAAAAGAAGTATGCAAAGAAATAGTTTGGATGGGAATTGGGTGGTAGTGAGAAGGAAGATGGGTAGGGAGGAAGTTAAGGTAGTACTTACATTTAAGAAGGAAGACAAAGGCATAAAATGTAACCCTGTGGCATTGAGTAAGAAAATACAAATGAAAATAGGAGAAGTGGATACAGTGAATTTACTAAGGAATGGAAATTGGTTGTAAATATTGAAAAAAGTGTTGACTTTGGTGTATATTGGGAGAAAAATGATAAGTGAAAAGAAGGTACTGGGGGAAAGAGGTACAAGGAGTGATTACGGGATTAGGGTGAAAGATATGGTACGGGAAATTCAAGAAATATTGTATAGAATACAAATGATGGGCTTGATAGTTGTTTTGCGTTGTGTCCCAGCTCTTGTTGGTATCGAGGGAAACCAGAACATGGAGACAATAGTGAAGTGGGCAACAGTGTAGTCTAACAAAACGTAGGTATTGGGGTAAGTAAAATGGAAGTGAAATGGATAGTTAAACAGATATAGATGAAGAGATGTCAAACGCAGTGGAGTACTGAAAGTAAAGGAAGATGGTTTTACAGAATTAAGAGCAGTGTGGGAGGAAAGAGATGGAAGGAAGGTGAGAAAATGCAAGAAGTACCTGTAGTAACATATGGCATACTCCTTACCAGTAGGTGGCGGTAATGCGTCTGAACGTTTCTTTCCAACTGCCATAACATTTCTTAAGAAGAAGAAGAAGAAGAAGAAGAAGAAGAAGGAAGAGAAGGACTCTTCGTTGCTACCATTAGGGTTAGCAACAGTTGCTGACGCAGAGCGCTGCGTAGAATATTGTCTTGCTGTTTTAGACTATTTATTAGGAATGAATTACTTTGCTGTGTCGCTGACGCGATAGTCGTCGTCGTGTGTTCATTCCTGAGCCCATCAACGACCACCCCGGAACTCCACAAAGGTATATGGGTTTATTTGTCATTTAAATACTGTAGTTGTCCGCCTTCAAACTGTGACGCCGACGCGATGGGAAAGGAATGCTAAACACGCCTCGTTTGTGATCACCAAGGTCAGTTGGGACACCACCTTCTGAGTCGCGAGAGACGCCTAGATTGTTCTCCACTTTTCCACGTCGGCGGCCGCTAAAATAAGGTAAGCAGAAGACATTGTAATTCTGTACATTCAATACGATGAATTAAGGTGTGGAGGGAAGTAGTACGGCCCTCTAAAAACCGATTGCATTCCACTTTCGATCGAACTCATCCCTTGGTGAATTGTTTGACGATGGCTACTGTTGAGAAGTTCGAAGAAATTTTGTCTCAAGTTTTGAGTAATTTGGATGCCCTCCCTGTTGCATTAAACCAACCATCAATCACAGCACAGGGTAAGCACCATTAAAATTGGTGACGGGGAGACAAATGTTGATGCCACCACAATTAACACAAGTGACACGCACAAGGGGCTACAAACCATAGTGAGACCAGTTGCATGCTGAAGCTAACCGTTTGTCTCTCCAGGTGGCGGAAGGTGAACCAGAGTTGCCACAAACATCCGCCTACTTGAGAGTCCTCAGCAGAAAGTGGAAAACACCAAGATGGACAAGGCCAAGGAAGGTGGTCTCCAGAACCAACAAAGCAGTCCAGCTGGAGAAGTGCGGGTCACAGTGGTATCACCTGAAGATGGTCAGACCGGCACGCGGCAGTACAAAAACCTTCAATTAAGTATAATGGTGATCGCGTGCCTTATGTTGGCTATTTCAGTAATACAAACGGCGACGAAAGTGGACAGACACACAAGGGGGGTTGCTAGACACACTTCTGAATGTGGGTTACCCCACCAACTAACAATACATCATGTTAATGGGACAAACAAGGCGTACATATTTGATTTGTGTGACGTGATTGAGTGTGGAGGATATAACAGTTCTTATCGGGAAAAGGATGTTTACCTGTGTTTTGATCAGACTCTACAGAACCTGTGTTCAACTCAAAAGAGTTACACTGGGCCGTGGTGTCAGACGTGGGGACAAGTGACCCATTACACTGGGTTATGGGTCCCGAGCAAACAGGTGAATCGTGGTCTGCTAGCACAGAAAAATCATAATGAGATTATGGATCGGATAAGTTTTGAGCGCATTTACAGTCTGTCTCAAAACCCGGTGATGTTAAGTGTCATGCAAGAAGCTATAGGGGGATCCAAGTCAACATTTGTCATCGTGGGGGTGGATGTAGCGGGGAGGGATCCCCTGGGAGTGGTTCAAATTATCGTATAAACAAATACCCCCCACTTATCCACAGGGAAACAGTAATAAGGCCACCGTCAGCGAGAGAAGCTATGAGTGTATGCGAAAGAATCCACTCCATAGAATTGTACCACCCTAGTGTCGGTGTTTTCTCCAGTGGACAATCAAACAACTCTAGCAGTGAGTGCAGTGATTTGAAAAATAACTGCATTTGTTTCAGCTTTACCATGGACGTGGGCGCGGGACGCATCCTGGTGTGCCTCCTTTTGGGAATGCCTCACAGATCGGGCCCTGTGCCGGATCTGGTTCGTTTTAGTATTGCAGAGAGCGCTGCATCTTGGCGCAAATGGACTAGGGCACGAAAGGGAGGTGCACCATTGTCCGTCTCGCAGCTCAGTCCCTTGCTCGGTCATCAAAATAGTCGAATGCAACAAACCACACCCGCCATATTAAATACTCGGCGACGCAGAAACATTTTGGCAAAAATATCTTCTGGAAGTACCAGTGGACGTATATTTGACCCTATGGTGAATTCACCCACATACATGGATAGATGCCATCGGTCTACACAGGAGGGTTCCAAATGAATTCAAATTGGTGGACCATGGTAGTGCACGTTTTGAGAACATACCGATCATTTCAGCATTGTAGACCGCATCAATCCCGTTTGTTCCAAAGCGCAAAGGTTGGCTAATTTAACTACAAACGCCGTTGAGGGAACTAGGCCCATCTTCCTTAATGGCGATCCAAAGGAGAAAGCCGCTAGATATGCTGCTGGCTAAGGAGAATGGAGTCTGCTCCATGTTTGGGGAACTTGTGTTGTCCATACATTCCTAAGAACTCTGCCCCTGATGCCTCCAAGGACTGAGATCCCTCGCGGTCGAATTCAAAGAAGCCTCTGTCATCAATAACCCGATTGAAGATTGGTTTCACAACATGTTTGGAAGGTGGAAGGGACTCATAATGTCTGTCTCAGCTTCCCTTCGAGCTTTCTCGGCAATTTTAATCACTTGCGGGTGTTGCTGCATTCCTACGTGCTGTTCTCTTTGCACCAAGTATGTAACTACCATAGAAGGGGCCAGCAAAGAGGATCCCCAACCCATGATGCCTTTGATATTCACAATATACTTGCTTTAGTATTCCGTTTTGCCTTTTGTAATCCGAGTTATTTCAGGTCAAAGTTTCAAAAATATGACTGCAAATGTGTTTCTGAGAACAAAAGAGGGACTGTTTGTGGTGGGTGTGTATGAGAAGTGAAAGAAAGTGCAGATGCTGTGCCAGGAACAGACGAGTGGAGGTGAAACCACAGGGCTGACTGAAAACACACACACACACACACACACACACACACACACACACGCACGCCCACGCCCTCTTTGGAGAATTGTATTAAAGGCTGGGTCAAAGAAAAGGTGTCTTCGTCATTCTGCTTCGCTACCTTTGCGGTTAGTAACAGCTGCTGACCCAGAGCTCTGCCTAGAATATTGGCTTGCTGTATTAGATTATTTGTTAGGAATAAACACTTTGCTGCGTCGTTGATGCCATAGTTGTATGTGTGTGTGTGTTCATTCCTGAGCCCATCAACGACCACCCCTGAATTCCACCAATTTATATTGGTTTATTGGTCATTAAAATAGTGTGGCTTCGGTGTCAATTAAATAACATTCAACATCTACTTTGTAAATTGTTTCACTGCAGTGACTGCATGACATCAACTGTGTATTTTGCATGAAACAAATCCACTACACTCCTACAAATTTTGATCATAAATCTTTAACTCCCAAATGTAATAAATTAGTTTTAACAAACTAAATGTTTACTGTACAATATACAATATTAAAATGAAAAGTCATAAAATGACAAAACTAAAGTGAAAAAATAAAACAAAAAACGACCCACAAAAGAAAAAAAATGTAAATGAAACCGTGGGAAAAAAATGCCCCACTTTTTATTCAACTAACCCTTGGTGTCTGTTAAAACAAATAAGAAAAACCTATAATTCTGTACAAAAAAAAGTAATGCACACTTGGTAGAAATGTGACTTTTTGGGGTCATTTTCTTGAAAAACCTTTTTTAAAAATATATTTTTTCCTCCTCCAAAGGTTAAAATAAAAAATATAAGTAGACCCCTCCGGAAAACGAAACATGAAAAAAGACAAGAGTACATGACGAATTCCTGTCATCTGCTTTTTTTCCTCTGTCTTTCTCTGTCTCTGTTTCAAACACAACTAAAGGCAAATTGTTGTCGAAGATAAGACAAGCGCATTCATTTGCAGCTGCGACATCCTCGCTCATTAGCGCGGCAAGCAGATAAGAAACCATGCGTGCAGTGAACCGCTCTTATCTCCTGTGATTCACTCGCACATCTTGCGGGGGCGATCCTTTTTACATGGAAATCAGACGCGTTGTAGCACTTCGCTCCTCAAACGCTTCCGTTCATTCACGACGTACAGTAGCATGTCAGTTTAGCTTCAGCACAACAGCGTTCACGCGCAATTCGTAGAGAAACTGCAATTCTCCGGTTGATGGTTTGATTCCCGCGAGGAAAAATAAAACAACCCGCGTGAGGCAGTGACGAAGCCCGACTGAGTCACAATGCTGCTGCAAGCCAGACATCCCCGCAAAGCGCGGCTTGTTTTCACACGTCATTACAGGCGGGATAAGGGTCAAGTTCCTCACAGCGATTGCAAGCGACCTGATGTAAGCCGTTATGATGTTATGCTTCTGCAAGAGTTTTCTTTTCGGGTGTTTATTAAAAAATAAATAAAATAAAATACAGGCGATACAGCTGTAAGTGCATGACTGCATTTGCGTTGAACAAAAAAAAACTTTTGATGAAATTCTATTGTTCAAATTCACATATGCACATCCAGTCCACCTAAATGTACTGTATTTGAATTGGGAAGGCAAATGTATTAATTTAAATGCTTGTATTCAAAATGTTATTAGTTACAGTGGCCCTATTATAATTTCACATCATGACTTTTTTTTTTAATCATACTTGACAACAGGCAAAATCTACTCCTAATTTGCATACAAGTGGACCTGGCAAACAGAAGCCAGTCGAACAAGGCTAGAGCAATACATTTGTCACGCTAAGGGCACGGCGGATGTTAAGCAGCCGGCTGTTGAGCAGACGGAAACGACTACTCAATCCAGGACAGACAGTCGATGTGCTCATTGAAGAAGATTTACTCATTAAGAATCCGATACAAGGGCAACAGTCTGTGGTTGCTGTGGGGAATGGGGGAAGCCGTTGGAGACCCCCCACCCCACCTCCTTTTTGGTTCTCACCCCGGTGACACATAATGCTCCACGAAGGAGTGCGGCACATGGGCATTACATAACGCCCAAATCCTGGTCCTCCCTTGTCTCCGTTCCAGCTCCCACTCACGTAAAAAAAAAAAACATCTGGGAGTGAAGAAGCAGATTCCAGAGGCGGCAACTTCTGTGAGCTCAGAATTAGCAACAAACTTGGACGGATTTAGATCTATAGTACAGCGTTGCCATGACTTTGGAGATCTTAAATTACACTGGTCAACAGTTAATTTTAATAAGTCCCTTAACATATTTGTTGACACATTAAAAAAAAAAGTCTTTATCCCATCGCTATTCGTTCTTCCCGTCTTTTTATGCACCACATAACAAAGAGAGCATTTCACCATTAATGAAGTAAAGATGTTGGACTTCCTATTTGTTAATTTTTCAGAGATCGTGTTCTTGGGCTGCAGGATGTTCACTTGGCCTCAGAGGAAGCTCTACAAATGTATGGACCAGCCTGAGAAGGAAGCAAAGACTTCCTGAGCATATAGTCCAGATTCCAAAACAAAACAGAGGAAGCCATCACGAAGTCACTGTACAAAAACCAGACCCTAAAAACTTGGGCGGATTTCAAATGTTCCACATGGAAAAAGGTGGCGTGGGCCCCTCGCTAGGTAACTTGTGCAAGCGAAGTTCCGATACTTGTTTTGAGTGGCTGCAAATTGTGACCACATTGGGAATGCTGGAGCTCATTTTAATATTTATTTTTACTCCCTGTTTGGATCGATCTCACCCCCATGTCCCACATTATTCCCTCCACTTTTTCTTTTTGAAAGCTCAACGTTAGCCCATTCGAAGTTGCACCAACATTTCCGGGCAAAATATGCCTCAAGTCATCCTGTTAGCAAATCTTGTGAGATTTCAGTTTGGTGGTGTTGTCAAACTTTTTCCAACATGTACCACCTAAAAAAAAAATAATAAGAGAAAAAGAACTGAAATATGGATTCATTGAAGCTACATTGCACATAAGTTCAAAATGTGGCTAAACAAATGTTTGAAAAACAAAACTGTACCCTAAAGATTAAATCCCAATGTATTGTGCTTGAATTAAATTCACCGGAACTGTACTTGACCGTTATTCTTTTAACGACTGTGATTGGCTAATGTCCGAAAAGAGGCGGATCTTGGTGTTATCACAAATCTACAAGATTCACATAACTTTTGTAAACACTGAACAATGACCAAGAGGAGTATCAGTGCTGACTGTCTTTTCACTCAATCAACTTAGTATGCCAGAGGAATTAAATCCGGATAATACGCCCGACTTGTTTTGTGGGGAAACGGTTGTCCTAAAAAAAAAAAAAAAAAAAGTAAAGTTTTTTAGGATGAGTCACTACTTATTAGTAATGCAGTAAAAATGAGAGGAAATGACTATTTTAAGAGATGTCCTCATTACATTTTTTTGCACCCAAGCGAGAGTCACTTTTTTTGAGTACTTATTTGCCAATACTGAGTTTTGAGCCCATGCCTGGGAAGTGCATTACAAAGAAGAAAATAAAAAGAGCACATCAAATTATTGCTTATTTATTTTCAATTAGAATAAAAGTTTCCCAACAAAACATTTTAGATGGCTCTAAGTCAGTGGTTCAAATGAAGTAAGCAATTTTTTTTTCTTGACTTGAGAAATAAAAACAATTCAAAAAGGCGATCTTTTCCAGCCGATATTAATCGGCTGAAAATATGGGATTGGCCTTGATTTCCGATTACGTGATCGAATCTGGACAAATATTTTTCCAGTAAATTTACAGGGTGTGCCACTAATGTGATGTGCCACACTACCAGGCCCGCCTCTTAAAGGAACATGCATATACAGACACTTGTAATATTTACTGCATTTTCTATTCATTTTATGCTTTCAGATTCAGATTTCAGCTTTTTTGTATTCAAGAAAATTGTTCACAAAGAGTGTTTTAATAAGTTTAAAAATGTTTCAAGCGGATGAATTCACCTAAGATTACTGCCTATGGGCCACTTTATCTTAAAATAAGAACAACTTGGAAGTCAAACGGCATGTTCTACAGTAACACACAACAATCTGTTTTTAGTTTGACATGCTTCTGAAGTGAGGACATGACTGGTGATTTAGTCCGCATGAATGCTCTGTAGTGGAAGCCCAAGCAGATGAGAGGAGAAAAGCGGCAATGAAAAACTCCGCTGGGGGTTCTGAGGTCTCCACTCGCGGCGCCACATTCGTATTTTCTCTCTGTGAAGTGGTTCCTGCGTGCGGGCGGTTTTGAGAGGAAGGCTCAGCCAAACAAACCTCAGCCAAGGTTTCTTTGACAAGTTTAAAAAGGGTGGGGGGGGGGCGATGGGGAAGGGCGGGGTCGCTGTCAGGCTGCAGGGAAGCTGAACAAACAGCAGCGATAAGTAAGGAGTGATGAAAAAAACACAGGCTTAATTATGTAACCAGGATGGGAGACAATGATGTGGTGGTATATCTCAAGACAAAACACTGTGGCACATTTAAAAAAAAAGCCAAATGGTGGCCCTCAGGGCTAAAAACAAGGCCCACAACTGCTTATCCTCCTTCAAAAACGATGTTTCTTCTCAATATATTTAGAGAGCTGTTTGGTTGCATCGAAGAAAATGCTTTGACACTCCCAAACAGAGATGGCGAAATAGCTTACATTTAAGTATAAGTACAGATACTGCCCGGATTCCTTCGAAGAAAAAAAAAAACTGTTAAGTGCAACATTTACACAAGTCTCTGATGAAATCATTTTTTTCTTTTTTTAATGGATTTCACATGAACACAACAGTCACTGACTGTCTTGAGCGTAAACCTGATGAACAATACGCGGGATTAAAACATCAGTTACTGCTGGTCCCGATTTAGAATTTGTAGAAGCAACAGGCACTGTTACGCAAGCTAAATCTTAAAGAAACAACTCGGTAGTGCCAAACTTAACACTGCTCTACTTGAATCACGTTTTTCATCTGTTTTTGTACGCCTTCTGCCACAAATTACCCAGTCAAAGCTATTGAATTAGGCACAAATAACAGTATGTTAACAGTTCAAATAATGTTAACAGTTCTAAACACTTTGTATTGCTAGCATTAATCCTGAATGTTGGGTTTAATTGCATTTGTTAGCATGGTGTTTCAACAGTCTTCCATTATTTTTCTTGCGTTGTGTTAGCATCAATGCTAGCATTATCATGTAGAATCGAATAAATTGTACCCAAACGGTACTCCAAATACTGTAACTATATATGGACAGTTCTGAACACGTACTGTGCTATATTAGCACAAGTGTCAATGCTAACATTATTGTTCGGTTGACTTTGGTGTATTAGGGCAGTGCTCAAACAGTTTTATTTTGGGTATGCCGTGAGTAAAAGGTTCCACAGTTGTATTGTGCTGCTTATGCTAGTTTCAAGGCAAACATAATTAGGTGTATTAGCATGATGCTTAAGTAATTGCCAATTATTTTAAGAACATCTTTTAAAAATAAACAGGGCCACTTTTTTTTTTCCAGGCTAAACAGCTTACCATTTTGCTTTAATGTCAGTTTGCTTCACACCTGTCTGGGGAGCAATTATGAAAACCTGATTGTTCCTCAGTTTCTAAAACCCAGCCATCTGTGTTTTGCATTTTACATCACATCAGGAAAATATGTGAACAGGGTTCTACTTTTTATGCAATTTGGATTCCAAACTCAGTTTCTGTTACTTTCAAAGGAAGTTAAAAAAAATGGTACCACGTACACCCAAACATGTCAAATAGGGTTTTGTAGGAATGCGTCGAAAGGGGATCTGAGGGCTTTTGGGGTGTGTGTGATGATTTGAGGCGTGTAGAGGTGTTGGACCAGTACAGTCTGATGTTAAATATAGCTGACAGCACAGCAGGCTGGAAACAATGAGACAAACTGAGAGAACCTGAACAAATCAGATTTGGGAGTAAAAAGCATGACAAGTAGGGGCCAGGTTTGAGATTTACACAATTTTCCAACACATTCCCAGATGGATTTGCACATCACCTCCAGTTTTCCATCATTTTTTTTTTTATCATTCCAAAAACAGTTAGAAGCTGTTCGAAACATGGTGATATATATTTGAAGCCAAAAAATACATTTTCCCTTCAGAACAGCATCAGTTAGGCCATGGTGGAGCCACATTTGTTAGCAAATGGCGCATGTTTGTGTGTTTAGCTTGATAACATTCCACAGTGACGATTTTGTTTTTGTACTACTGGAGGGAAATCCAAGCTCTTTTGTTTTGAGAATGAAGACATAAAACCATCCAAAAACAAATTTTAGTAAAATAAATGAACATTTTGACACTTTCAAGACCTCTAAAACACAATGGTGATATGCTTTCCTGATTATTATGCGAGTAGTTAGCCATGCTAACATGGCACTTACTTATCTAGCACATGCAAGGTTCAAATATTTTGTGTATGTTTTTGAGATTTGAGGAATTAATACTGCTATTGGCCACACCCTTTTCTATTTTCTGTTTGGTCTATTTTCAAGATCCCTTTAAGAGGTTTATCGACACAAACAGAGCTGTTTGTCATGAAGTCAAACGTTGTATGAAAATGGCAGCAGAAGTGATGAGGTAACGGTGGGTGTGGCCGATGATGCAGGCGGCGATGGTTCATGATGTAATGGGAGCTTTTTGTAAACGAAAATGACCGTGATTAAGAGTCTGTCAGCCTTGGGTTTGTCATTTATTTATTTAACAAGCTCCTTCATAAATTATCGCTCGTAAAAGATTCTTTCAGTAGTTACAAAGAGGATAGTAGACATAGTGGGGGGGAAAAAATAGTTTGTTGACAGGTGTTTTTTTTTTTTTTCCTTCCCAATGATTGGTCAGAGAGGGGTATTCAACATCCCATCGCTATTAGTTCTTCCCAACAGGAACATAATCTTCCAGAGTGCGAGTCAGTGAAATGCTTCCCATCTTCAGTGTTTTCAGTTAAAATTCAGTAAAATCTTCAAAAATGAAAAACAAAAAAAGAACAGCACTACAGCGCTACGACAAAGGTGGCATCTTCTTGGCTCCATTTTCCCTTCTAGTCCCATTTCGAGGGGAAGCAGCAGGGCAGCGGGAGAGGTTCCTTGGTGGTTGAGTCTCATTCGGCCCCCGCGCCCCTCCCCTACGTGGTCCAATCACACTAGTGTTCCGACTACGATCCCCGTGCTTGTGACTAGGGTACCTGCTGCTGGATGTGCTGCAGGAACTCACAGTAGGACGATGCCGACTCGGAACGATCTTCCACCAGGTGCTGGAAGAAGGTCGCTTTCGCCGAGGCATCGTCCCTAAAGATTGAGAAACAGAGTCACAAATTTTAATAGCTAGTCAGAATAGAAGCGCATCTGGAATTGGGTTCATTTGGACGAGTTTTAAATGTTTGTGAGTGTCAAATACCCTGGGTCCTTTCCAAACAATTTAACTTGTGTAGCGTATTCATATCAGTCGTTAGATAGGATCTTACCACAGTACATGTTATCTCTTTGGATTTAAAGGGGAAAAATATGGAATTTTTTCAAAATACTGTAAATCTGCACACTACCGGTATTTGTTTATCAGTCCAAATGTTGGACGACAACACTGCTGAGCTAGACGACAATGGTGCTCAGGAAGGAGAAGGGGGAGGCGGGCTAAACAATCAACTCCCTGAGGAAGCAGTCGCCCCCGTCATAGAAAAGAACTTCCTCTCAAGTAATCACTGCGATTGTGATAAAAAGATGATGATGATGACAACACGTGCAGTGTGTTTTATCGACCGCCTTTTCGGTTAAATTAAGTTATGTCATGTAACTCTGTCAGGATACAGGCAGCCGTAAAAGTAGTGGGCCATCCCTGGCCTGCCAGATCACATGATGCCCTTTCCTCGTGTTTACGCAAAACAGCAACACGTGGAAAAAATAGTGGAGAATACCTGCTTTATCAGGCAACGTTGAAGGGACAACTGTGACACCATGTTTGAGCGCTTACTTGACGATGTGCACGATGGAGCTGAAAGCTCTGTTGTCCTGCAGCCAGTCGAGGAACGCTCGCACTCTCTCCGACAACAGTGTCTGCAGCTCAGGAATGCAATTCTGCCCGAAACAGCATCACCACAAACAGCAATAAAAATCAACAACAACAAAAACACGCGTTTCACGGCCACAAATCGGATCCAGCCACACAATGCGACGCAGGGGAAAAAAAAAAAAAAAGACAGTTTGGAATGTTTGGCATGTCGGTGGTTCTGGGAGGCATCAACCCGCCTTGTGAAAAAGGGAGATAAACACGCTGACGGCTGCTGTCCACCCAGTCAGCCGGAACATTCTCGAGGTGAAAAAGCGGCAACAGCAAGTCTGATTTGCTGCACTTGCTTTTTTTTTTCTCTTCTGCACGCAAACATACAGCACCTTTCAGTGAAACTCATGTACGCTGCAGCCGCCAGCTATTTGTTATTCACCCACATACAGTAGCTTTTGTTATTTGCTGCTGCAGGGCTTGTTCACAATTACTGTATAGAATCACTATACACGAAGGCCTCGTTTCCTGACACCAATTCAGCAGTCTTCCACATTTTAATGTAGTGTGTAGAGAGGGCTCAACACTGACCATATTTGGGGGAATTGAAGCGTAGTTGGGGTAGTCTAGAACGTCTCGGATGAACATTTCATTACAGCATTTGCCGATCCAAAGGTAAAACACCTGCACAGATGTGAGAAAAAAAATGAAGCTATATAAAGGAAGATGAAAAATTGCATTACCAGAAGTGGACTAACATGTTACACAATTGCTACACAAGTACTCTTTTTGCAGTATGAGGCATTTATAAAATATATCCATTATAATCACACTTTTTTTTTTCCTTTCCACTTTTCTGGACGTGGAGTCTGTCGCATTGTATTACTCCTCTCAGTAACTTGGGTTTCCGTTTAATCCACTTGTACTGTGTCAATTGAAACTTCTAACTCACTGTTGATGCAACATAGGATAAAATAGCTCTCAATCATAAATGGGGCACCGATGATTGCTGAGTCTTCTTACATGGAAAAGTGTTAGTCACAGTTTCTTGTTTGTTTTGTTTAAACTGATAGCATTCATATGGGGCTAAAATACATACTAAAACCAAATAGTTCATGTTCGATTTCACGGATGAGGATGATAGTTCAATGGGAATCAGGCAATGATCAATCATTTGTTGTTTTGGCATTGTTTTGTTAAAGGTCATCTGGGTTTACTGTCATACTGGGGAATCGTTTAGTTGTTTTGGTGAAAGTAACACAAAAGTTGTAGACACATTCAACTGATGGTAATATTGTAATGTAACAGACCACTTTCAAAAGTCAGTAACTTGTTATATATAATACGGAGTCTGAGAGTCACACTGCTGATGACAAAATTAAAGTAGGTTAATTAAACCTTGTCTAAGCAGACAGCAGAGAACATCGCGAGAATAGCGAGAAACATCTGTGAATGCATCACTGAGTAGTTAGAAGACTCAAAGATGAACACGTACGCTGCCGCAATCCATGAGGAAAGCGCCATCTCGACTCAGCCTCTCCGCAGACAGGTGGAGGAGAGGAGGCTGCGGGACCAGCGTATCGTTGAGGTGGAGCGCCCCCTGCAGGTCCAACAACGCCATTACAATAACCATGTTGAGGGATTATTTCTTTTTCATTTTAATTTTGTTGACTTCTTCACCTGGTCGGACATATTGTCCAGGCGGTATAGGTCGGGGTGGACCATCCGCATTAGCTGCTGTAGCGGTTGCGTCTTGAACTCACACATGGCGAAGACACGCTCGTCCAGGCGTGTGCTCGTTCCCGTACGAAATGCTTTCTGAGAAGCAAAACACATCAGCCAGCGTGAGTCAAAGCGGGGGCCATGATAAGGCATAAAAGGCAGCCACACCTGTTTTAGGAGAGAGAGGATGTAAAGCGGGAAAAGGCGCATGACGGCGGGCACCACGAGGCCAGACTGCTGCAGGTTGGACACGTTGTTCTTGTAGGCGCTCACAAAGTCCACCGCCGCGTTCGTGAGGGCGTCCCGAGCATCCAACAGGCTGGATGATACGGAGCGGTCGATCGCTTTGAAAAAAACACATAAAGAGTAACATTAAACATTTAGCCCACAAAGGGTACGCCAAAGTCCAAAGGCAAATATTGGTAACACACCCATATTTGCAAGCAGGCAAGTAATGGCCTGGACGTCAGCGCCGGCGTACACGTCGCTCAGTTGGTTGACCACAGGCAGGCAAAGAGTGTGGACCCGGATACGCCTCTTCCCTTCAATAATAAACAGATGCAGGGTTAGAAGCTAAAACGCGCAACGAAATCAACTCATGTTCTACGGCTGTTTACTACAAAACAGAAACACGGCCGATATTTTTCTGGTGAAAGAAGAGAGCCTACACTTTCGTTTTGATATAATTTACTATCCTGTCACAGAACACAGATTTCTACGGGTCTTAATGAGCCAAAATGCTCTAAAATGGCTGGTAGTAAGGGGAACTCTTTTGAAAATGGCGGGCGGTGAATGAGTTAACGACGCTTCTACCTTTACTAGAGGTGTAGAGCAGAGCCGCCTGGAAACATGCCAGAGAAGAGTCAACCAGAGAGTCATCGATCGACATCTGGACCGCAAAGGCCGAATCTGGGTTGACGTTAGCGAGGGACAGCAAGTCGGTGGAGCGCACAAAGAAGTTGCCGTGGAACGTGTGGATGGATAAACCTGAGGGGGGGGGAAATGATCATCAGCTATTTCTAGCGGCACAGTAGACAACATGGTTTGGGGAGAGCAACCTTTAGTGCATCGTATTCTCATGACTGCCTCAAAGCCCATCTTCCTACTGAGGTAGCGCTCAAGATCCTTCTGGAACATCTCCAACTGGGCTGGGTTGTGGATGTGATGAAAGGAGGGATAGTAGAAGATGCTGCCAGCAGAGTACTTGGAGATGCACGCTATAAAGCAAAAGGGAAGGGGAAAAAAAAATGAACAAAGGTCTTTGTCATGCTGGAAGCCATTGTGGAAAGTTGAGACTCTTACCCAGTGAGGCGAGGTCAGCGTACTGGGAGCTGAGAAGAAAAAGATCAACCCCGATCTGTTGTCCTGAGCAATCCAGTGCAAATTTTTTGTAGAAGTCTGTGGCGGGGCCAAGATGCTGCACTCCCTGCAAACATGTCAGAAAAAAAAATCTCAACAAAAAAGATGTTTTAAAATAAGCTTAAATGCTGATTCGGACACCCGGGCGAGTCCCATGGAAGTGTCTTTCTCATGCTTCCTTGCTCTACCTTGGCACTGGCACGTTGACTGGGATCCTCCCTGGACTGCAGCGAGCCGGCGCCCAGCGTCGGCAGCTGCGTTTGGAACACGCTGACGCGTCCGCCGGTGGGCGACATGAGCTTGAAGGCGGCTTGCAGGGCAGGGCCCAGTGCGCTGTGTGTCTCCCTGCTCTGGCTGAACGTAGCGGGGAGGGAGGTCAGCAGGTCCTTGATCAGCTGCACAATGAGGGAAGACGGGACAGACAAAAGGATATAATTCACCCTCGAAAACACACACGAAAGAATTTAGTAAGTTGGAGTCTACCTCTTTACTCTCCTTCCAGTTCACCATTAGACTGTCATGAGATGGTATGAATACATCTGCAGTTAAAAAAGTAAAATAAATATATTACAAGTTGAGAACTTTTTAAAGGGGGACATATTTAGGGAAAAAAAATACTTTTTAACTGCTTATATACAAATAAATGAATGGTGATGTCACACTACAGCTAAGTTACATAATTCCACTTTCACACCATCTTTCTCTAAATATCTGGCAAGTATGTCTTTTCCAAAGCGACGCTTAGAATATATGCTGCCTGAAACACTACATCGGAGCAGATCTGCAATGAAATTTCCCGGACACACTGATCAGTCTGAGCTAATTAGTGATAACGTTGAGGGTGGGACTGTGCCACAAGGTTTGAAATAACTTTTTTTCTTTGAGGAACAATTTTGCTCACCAATGACTTCAGTTGAAGAGCAATTTTTTGCAGGTTAATCCGAGGGCCCTGACGCAGTGGTTTTTATTAAACAATAAAACAGTCAAAATAACGGAGATGTTGAATGTGGAGCTACAGCTGCTGAATATTTTAGGATTTGAGTGTCCTACTGAAACCTCTACGATAACTGTTTATTCAGATACATGATAATTTTACTTTATATATTTCACCTAGTATGAACAATTGTGGAAAAAAAACTGTTCTTATGTCGTCACAAAGGGAAAGAAATGCTGATTATGAGAGGTCAAACTCTCAGTACCGTCGATATCGGTTACCACCAGCATCTGTGGCTGGGACAGTCCCCCCTGGAGGTTGTAGAAGTGGACGCTGCTGTCAAACGTGAGGAATCCCACCTTGGTACGCGAGTCACCAGGCAACCTAAGGACCACACCTGTTTTTTTAACCCCTACGATCTGCTTTTAAGCAGAAAAGCGCACGGCTTTTTCGTAACGATCCCGACACTCACTTATCCAGGTTCTCCAGGAGCGACTCGCAGAAATATTTCAGGTACCCGCTTTCCACGGCACTGTGTGACACATCCAGCACAAACAGGTAGACGGCTGGCTGAGGGGGCCGCAGCTGTCGACACAAGTTTATTATCAGAACTGTGGTGAAGTTAGCATAAAAACACACTTGGCGGCCTCAAAATTAGATAGCCCTGCGTACAATCTATATGCACATCGAATACAACAGCAGTTAAAAAAAAAAAAAAAAAAAAATCAATTACTCATTGCTCAGAGAACCAGATATTTACCAGACAATGTGTTTATTTGAGTGGATGTGGATTTTAAACACCTATGATAAATATCTTAATGATAGTTTCCTCACAAATACAGTTGCAACTGAAAAAAGTAGGAGGGCCTCACCATATAGTCTGATGACGCAATGAATTCTACAGTGGCGTTTTGGACTTCTGGTCTCTTGTGGGGTTCACCGTAGGACCTCGTTACCGGGTTGTACATGAACTCATCCGGTACTGGGAGAAAAAAAAAGGACAGATAACTGATGTAGGGCTAAATGCAGCAGAGATGCATCCAAATAAAGTGGCGCGAACATTTTCATACCATCGTTGACCCGATAGCAGAGGTTACACTTCCACCTTCGCTGGTCCAGGAAGGTAACAAAGGGGTTGATGTAGGTGCGACAGTAGCGACAGCGGACTATGGTGTTGGACGTGATGACTGGCAATTGCTGCAGGGAAACATTTATTGAAACACTAAGTCATGTGACCCGCTTGCCTAATGACACCTGTCATTTGGTGAAACATTAGGTCATGTTTAAAGGGTAAACTGACTTTTTAAAGCATAGTTGAGTCTGTGGAGCGTTTGTCTCTGTAGTTCTGCCCTACTGTTACATAACATGGCTAATTTTCTGTTGTATTCTATTTTGTATAAAATTGTAAAACATAAAATAAAAACCTCACACGCAAAAACACAAAAGTCCCTTTCGAAAAGCACTCTAAGATGTGTTTTAGGAGTCCAGAGAAATTCATGCCGGAGGACGGATGTCCTTGTCGACTTCTATCAGTGACCCTCTTATCAAGTAGCACCTTTAAAAATAAACTCGCTTCCCTCACATCGTCCTGCTGTCTATGCTGTTGCCAGTCAATGAAACCAAGCCTTCTCCTTCCCTGTTCATCTTTTTTTTTTTTTGCAGAATGTCACAGTTCTTTGAAAGAATACATTTCATGAGCTTCAATCAAACTGGCTGTTTTACAATGGAACCTCCAAAGTCGAAAACTCCAAATTGTGCAACCTTTGAGGCACTGGACAATGGAGGTTTGACAGTATTTATTTATTCTTTTTTTTTTTTTTGGAGGGGGGCGGGGGTAGTAGCTTTTCTACATTATAGCCCACCTCTAGATCTCTGAAGGGGTGAAGGAGGAGGCCAAGGGGCAGTCTGGCCTTGTTGAGCAGAGCCTGCGTTTGAGGGATGCTAGTCAGGGTACATCGAAATGTCCTTTACATGGGAGAGAAACAGGAAGTTAACTTGCATTCTACGATAATTTTCCTCGACAGATTTTGGAAGCGGTGAAAACTCTTTGCATACTGTGGGCTGCAGTTGACCTTCTTCAGCTCCGAACTCAGGTTGGGTTCAGGGGCTTCCAGAGGTCTTGGGGGGAGCAAATTCCTCTCCTGGAGCAGGTTTAGAGGCCTGAGAGCCTCCACCTCCAGCTCCGGGACCCCGCTCAGGCCCCCCAGGGCCGCAGACAGCTGGGACAGGCTCGGAAAAGGCTTTAAGCAAACCAGGGAGTGAGTAGCAATTATTCTGCCGTGTAACTGATGTACAGGTTTAACAATCCATTTGATGGAAGGCAGAGGCCAAACCTGGGAGTACTGCTGATAGCCAGTCGGTCCAAGCAGGTCCTGAGAAGCCGGCGAGTCCGTGAGTGAGGTTGGTCCTTGCGGATAAGCGGGCTGCATGGCTGGAAAACCATAGCTACTGTAGGGTGGTGCTTGATTGGTCGGAGGTGGCATCGAATCTGCGTGAGAGTTTGTTTTGCCATCAAATGAAGACTGTTATAACATTTTGATCCAGACGGAAAGTATGTATCTACACTACTGTGCCGAAGTCTTTGGTCGCCATTAGATCTGTTCCTTTAGCAATGACATTAAGGCCAGAATATTATATCTACATTTTACACTAATAAATATATATTTAATTCGTCCAACCAAGAAGTGGGAAAAAATAGCTGGAGTGGGCAAATTCTTGCACTCAAAAGTCACATTCCTTTTTTTCAATGAACGAATGGGCTACGTCAACTGCAAATCAAGTAATAAATAAAGTTCAATTGTATGGATGTAAAATTGTGTCATTAAAAAAAAAATAATAATAATAATTGGACACCGTCAACTATGATTCCAAAATGTTGCATGCAAATGTAAAGCAGTTCATTTTAATAATGGAGTTATGTTTCATTCTCATTTTAATTGAATTTTTTCAAATTAAATTATAAATGATTATTTCTAATTCAATTATTATAACAAATTATTCAATAAATGCCAATTGTTATAGGCATGCGTAAAATTGTTTATAACAGTCCTACTTTTCTTGTATTATTTACAAAAAAAAAATGAATAAACTAATTTAAAATGGATGGAATGAATGACAAGACTCTTTAGGATATAAAACTCTTATCAGGCCTGAATTTTAAAAAATGGAGAGAAGTGCATGTGCTTGCAGGCCGTAATTTGTGTTCAAGCACCCATGAGTGACAAAGGAACACAGAGGTGATTGCTGTGAACAACCATGCCAGTGGTGGTCCAAAACTTTTGCACACTGCTGCACGACTGACGAGGTAATAAAGACCATGTTTGTGACCCTGTGCATACCTGGAAAATTGCCTCCTTCCAGGGAATCGTAGCTGTTGGGCACCGGTGACGCACTGCCGGTGGTGGACGAAGACGTGTCGCCACCTGAAAAAGCATCACGGTGACAAAAGAATCAAGGGGAAACTTCCATCCATCCATTTTCTGAACCGCTTTATCCTCACAAGGGTCGCTGGGGGGTGCTGGAGCCTATCCCAGCTGCCTTCGGGCAGTAGGCGGGGGACACCCTGAACTTGACTGATGAAATTAAAATTAAATAAGGACATGGACATGTAAGGTAGAAAGGATGTTTGCACTTCTTATCCCGAGAGAAACAGGATAACTGAGAATAAATGCTTTATTTCATTGCTTGGGTTACGGGTGTGACTCATTTGGAATCTATAACCTAAAAACTAAGAACGAATGCTTGAAAGAAAAGATGATTTTTGTCCCACAGCGAACCCAAGCGGCAGGCAAGAGAAGCTCAACGGATGCAATTCGTGCCAACGAATTCGGATTTACGAACGAGTGGAAAATATGCTCTGGTTGGTACACGTAAGACACCTGGATGGCTGAAGAATGTGGAGGTCAGTGGGCTGGAAAGTGACAGAATGATCAATGTTAAAATGCTAAAATCGAAAGCAAACCTGCTTCCTCATCCTCCTCCTCATCATCATCATCATCCTCATCATCCTCCGAGCTGGATGACGAGGGGGCTGCGGTCGCACCCGAGGCCGAGCTAGCGGCGCTATTAGCAACATATCCATATTGCGTCCCTGTCGGAACCGGGAGCAGGGGGAAGAAAAGGAGCAAAATTAATCAGAAACGTCTTCTCTGATGTAAATATTGAACTTTACTACATTAGAATTGTGTAAATTGTGGAAAAAACATCCAAATCCTCTTTCTTTTTCCCCTCTCACGTTTTCGAGATCGTCTGAATTTCTTTAAACACAAGGTTGGTATCTTGGCCAAAGTCTAGAAAAAAAACCACAATACTGCAGACACAAATTGCTATAAGAAGTAAAAAATATTATCTATGTAAATATGGGCCGATAATTTGGGTACATTTATATAACCGCGTAAATGATGGCAATAAACAACCAACAATCAACCAACCAATGCCTTGCCTAATCGCTAATTCACCCTCAACTATTTGTTGAAAAACTATTTGCAGTTTTGTGCTTATTCTACAATGCTCTTAGATGCCATGAGAAGACACCAAAGCCCTGGATAATTATAATATATTATTCGGTGTGAAGGAGCGACAATACTGTGACATTACTTAGCATCTTTTTATGTCTGGGAGGTTCTAAGTTGTTGCAGGAAGTTAAGAGTCGCAGTAACTTGAGGAGTTTCAACTAAGTACAAGTAATGCTTCACCACCATGTTCTCATATGTACAGGCAGTTATAAACTTTTTCTAAGGGGTTCGTCAATTACTGGTACTCGCAGATTTTTGCTAATCGATCCCTTGGAAATAATGGAGGCTTACAGTAAAACAACTCACAAGCTGTAATAAAGTGGACCCCAGTTAACACTCTTATCAACACATTTGGACGCGAGGTAATAATCACAGTGCAGGATATACCGAATTTGTAAACTATTCACACAGTGAGCAGCAGAGCACAATATTGAAATCATAATCAGCTGTCAACTACCTGAAAATCGTATAATGCGCATTATGGGGACAATAAGTTTACCTTGATGGTGGCCAGGTGAGGAATGTACTGATGTTGCGGGAGTTCCTGATGCTGGTCGCTCTCCGTTCGTCCCGCCTCCACCGTAGGAGTCATAGTTTAGAGAGGCCTGATGCTCATAGTGTTGGTGGGCAGTATTTGCGACTGCGATGGGAAAACGGACAAGAGAAAATTAATTGAAAGTGTCGCAAGTGAAGCCCTGTTTTTAGTGGAACCAAGTTCTTTGTTGAATGTTTGAAAGCAAAACAGGACAAAACAAACAAAATAAGAGCAACGTTTGGGGAACTGAGGAACATTGCAACACTGGCATGACCCAGAGGTCTCTGCATGTAATGAAGCACATTTATGGATGGCATTAAGCACTTTAGTGGTTCGCACAACTGCCTCACAGGTCTCAGTGTTTCCTGTGTTGTGGAATTCACACTCCTTCTCTAGGTACTCCTGCTTTCTCCCATATTCCAAAAACATGAATATCAAGTTCACTGAGGACTATTTTGTCCATAGGTGTGAGTGTGAATGGTTCCTTGTTTATGTGCCCTGGAAATGTGGCCAAAGTCAGCTGGGATAAACTGAAATTCATCTGTGAGAAGCACGAAAGACAACGAATGGATTGATAAGCCATATACGGTACAGACCAATGAGTGTGCCACAAGGCTCCATCCTGAGACCACTGTTTTTACAAAAACTAGAACATAGTCATTGTCCAGAGGTGTGAATGTAAGAAATCACTCCCCTCGATCAAAAAAAGTACTGTCACTTTGAGAAGGCATAGTGCTTTTTAAATTTTATATTTGACAGAAAAATAGGGAGAAATTATTTCATCAGGACATTCAAGTCACATTTGAGTTTACCTTTCTTCATACCTGTGCTTCTTTGACCATTGACAGCTGGTGCCACCTGAGAGGGAGGAGCCACATTATACCCCGGGTGCGTTGCTCCCGTTGCTGTTGTAGTAGAAGAAGCTGGCTGGGTGTTGCTGTATTGCAACATTCCCGGCGCAGTGGCAGTCTGGCTAGAGACAAGAGTGCCATACTGGCTCGTCCCTGGCGCAGATGGGTAGGAAACGATGGGATAGACTGGCGCCCCGGGACCACTAGGTGGCGCTGGCAACAAAGTGGGTTGCTGTTGCTGACACTGAGCTTGTGGCATGTGGTATGACATCTGTCCATAATAAGCTTCTTGAGTGGCATAGGGCGGAAACTGCTGTGGGAATTGGGCGTAGTGGCCGCTTGACGGCGGTGCCGAGGGGGCGGTGTGTCGCTGGGGAAGGGGCGCCGAGCAAGGGGGTGCTACATGATGGTGGTTTGGGTAGTAGTTGTTCACATGAGGGGCACTGTTCGTGACGGGGGCTTTGCTGGACACAACAGTACAGTGTGACGAGATGGTGGAGTAGTTTTGTTGCTGAGGTGGGGCTCCATAGTAACCCATGGCTGGATGTGTGGCGGTGTATGTCTGAACTGGACCTGGGAAGTAAATAAGAAGAATTCTGTCAACATTAAATGCAGAGGTATAAAATCTCATAGCTTTAGTTATCATTGTTTGTAGTAGTCATCTGAAAAGAATCACCAAATAATAGCAGTTCAGATAGTAATGCAGTGTTTCCCAACCTTGATTGAGTCAAGGCACACATTTTACATTAGAAAGATCTCACCGTACACCATCAATTTCAGAAAAAGTATGGAATGTATAGTGAAACAATGATTTTGTCTCAGTTTATTCAAACATTTACCTGAACTCTGGTCCTGTGAATTGAACACAAAGATGATATGTACCCATGACTTACTGTGCAGTACACTAGTTTATAAATCTAAAATAGCTTAAATAGCACAGCTTAGCAGATAGACTTTACAGCAGCAACAGCAATCGAAAGAGTCTTTCATGTCATGTTTTGTTCCTGTTACAACTAACACTTGGGACTGTGTTATGCCTATTTAATATGTTGAAAAGGCAACGTTTAATGCAGTTACAGCGGAGCTGTTAGTTCTTGTCGTTTATTAAATTATTGTGACTCTGTGACACCATTAGTCACTAAGATTGGCAGTCAATGCTACATATAAATGTAATGGCCTGCATTAAGCACCGTCAATACTTTTGTACGACAAGGTGATTGCTGGACTCACGTGTCTTGGACGCACTATATTTGCTGATTTCAAAACGGAGCCGCTGGCCAGAAGGAACTAATGTGCAGACTGGAAGAAATTAATGGGTCGGCTGAGGTAGGGGGCCCAGAGTATGTTGAGCCGGGCTGGGTTCAATTGGAATTCAACCGAATGTCCAGATTACTCATCCTGCCGTCTGCCATCAAGTGGAAAACCAATTAATTGTTATACCTGTCACTATAAGTCACTGGCATAGATAGATGAACAGAGACACATTATTTGTAGCAAATAAATAATTGTATAATGTAAAACATCTACAAAAACTCAAAATAGGTTTGGAAATTTTGATGTAGGGTATCTTGAATGCATAAAGTTGAAAGTCCTGCACCTGCTCTCCGTGAAAGCCTTTCATTTCTTCTTTTCTTTGTTCAGTACAAAACCAGAACTGCAATGATAATGATTTCAATAAGATATCAGAGCAGTGGCTAAATGTCGGTGGAGCTACAAACAAGCTTTATCAGCAGCTGTTGCTTGAACAGTTCGGTGAACTGCTCATACGAACACGACAGCACTGACATTAAACACTTAACTACACACTGGTGACCATATCAGTGTCCAACTGGAGCAGATTATGCAGGCAAATTGTTAAACAATTCATCTTACTGCAGCGCAAAGTTGCAAGCTCGCTCGCCCATCGACGCTAGGCTAACGTTATCATCCTCCTTGAATTTGTTAGCATCACGGTGCATATCGAAGTCTTATTTTGGCTTAAACTACAACATACTGCAAATGTAACAGTGCTGTTGTTTAAGTTTATGATTGCATGAAGGTTGGAAGTGACGAGTATTCATCCATTCCATTAGCATTAGCATGCTAAAACCAAGGGATCTGGCTAATCGCATCATCCGGCCTGCTTTACCATTCTGTCGGGGGGGAGCAGCTCCGCCGTTCGGCGTTGGGCTCTGGCCGTAGCCGAAGTAGCCGCTCAC